AACAAACCTAAACCACAGTGTACCAAGATCATCTTCTCAGGGAAAACTTGCCACAAACAATACGGCACCTACAGTAAGTTAGAACAATCAGATCTAATAGTGTCAAATTTCACTTTAACCTTTAGATTTGCATTCCTAATGGTTAAATATATTTTATGTTTAGTTAATTGTTGTTTCACGAAAGTGATCTTTAAGTTATTAGGATCAATAATGGGAATAAGTTAGACAACCATTGTAAACTAGGAGGTACTAAATAGCTGTTTATCCTAGTAAGAAACTCCTCACTGCTTTATGGTTTCAAATGATTGTCCTAGGTCGGCTTATAGTCTTACTAATATTAAACAATGTCCACAAACCTCCATCCCACTAACCGATGTGTTAATTTATGGCATGTTTCTTATCAATTTTCGCACTATTTCCAACTCGTATATAGTATTTGTACAAAATTGTTGGAGAAATGTTTTTCTTATTGCAACGGAAAATTCATTCTTGCAGTGCGTACAACTACTCACTCGTCCACTGAAAAGCCGTGACCAGTGTAGTCCAATCCGTGTCAATTGTGAGACATTTATCCACTTCAGGCAATGGGTGAAGGGTTGCTCAAGATCGTGGATCGATTGAAATCAGACATTAACATAAATGGATCCCGGTTCAGCGATTTAGATGTCGGGGTTCTCACGCAAAACGGAGGGTCCTACGTTTGAGTCCCGAATACGGAATCGTGGATGTACACTTCTGGATAGTCCTATATTAGGACGAAACGGCCGTCCAGTGTTTCCAGATATTTAGTGGTGGTCTAACTTAGATTAGTTCATGATTTCAATGAAATTCAATAATCTCCACAAACCTCTACTGTCATCCGTTTGTAAATATCATAAAAATACAGGTCAGACATAGCGAAATAAATAATGAAATACTTTCATTACAGATCTAGATTAGATCGACTCGTGATTTCAACTATCAAAATACCACACGTTCCACAAATCCTAATGCTGATGATTAAATTTTAGTTTATTCTTTTGATTACTTATTTTTGTCTTAGTACAGAGATCCTATTTTGTAAGTAATATATTTACTCCTATCATGATTCTAAGATCTTTCGTTCAGAAAATTACAGGGCCAAAATATTATATAATTTGAAATGGATTCTTTTGTTAGGCAAATAGAAGCAGGAAACACTTCGTCCGAGGGACTTCTATGTTTGTTCAAGCAAAACGCAGAAATATCTTGATATTAATAATTTTTTGAACATTCATTGATTTAAAATGTCCAACAAAATTAGGGAATTCACTTGGTATTGTTTACTTGAATTTCCCCATTGATGTTTAGGACTGCTATTAATCAGTCTGTTATTGGCATATGTGCATACTGTGTGGATTGCCTCGATATTTCCATAAGTGACAAACATTATATACAGAGAGGATGATGGCTATCAGTGGAATTCAGGACTCTCGTCTCGTTTTATTTGGGACTCATCAACTAGATGTATCTCCATCTCAGAGTTGATGTTCACTCCGTGACTCGAACCCATTGCCGTTCGCTTCAAACTTCATCACGTTATCCACTTAGCTACTGAGTCCTTATAGCCAATCGTTTGTGCAATGGAGCTCTTGGAAAATCTTGATTCCAAACCAATGGTGTACATGGGTTCCAGTATCCTGAAGGAGCAAATTGCGTATGAACCAATCGTTGGTCACCGACTACCATGGGACTGCATCTCCTCACGACGCTTCACTGCCTTGTGGATCAGACCTTTAGGTTGAAGGCTCCAGGTGTGGCCCTTTAAGAAAGCTATCGGCCTAAGTTTGGGCACCTGGTCAGTATCACAGCCCTCACACAAATCAAATGAGATAAAATACTATGATCCTAAACCGAATAGAAACAGTGATTTCTCAAACCCCTTCACAAATCCTATAATTTAATGTTTTTTCTATTTTATTCTTTCTATATATTTTAGGTAACAGTAAAACCTCCACCAAATGCAGAATTATTACCATTTAAAGAGAAAATGCGTTTATTTGCTCAACAAATTGGTGAAGATCTACCAAAAGAGCGTATTAAAGCATCTAGTCGTCAAAGAGAATTACAATCAGCTAATAATTTACATTAATCTAATTAATCATTCTCCTAAATTGTTTGTTTGTTTGTTTATTTACATTGGATTCATTTTAATTCATTTAGATTTTTATCAGAATTAGTAAATTGTAGAATTTTTTTTAAAAATTTTCAATCCTTCAATCCCCTCCCCTCAACACCACCACCACCACCTTTCTTTATGCCTTTAAATGCATATCAATCAATATAGTTTATAAAATGTAAAAACCCATACTGTATAACCTTTTTTTTCAAAAAAAATATTACTGATAATAATCTCTTCATTAAACTCATCATTATTTTATCTTCTGTAAGTATCATGGTAACTATTATTATTATTATTATTATTATTATTATTATTATTATTATTATTATTACTAATGTTACAACTGTATGCTCATGCATTTTGTTGACTATTATTATTATGATTATTATTGTTACTCGTGTTTCTGTTGATACTCATTCCTCTGATGATTTGTATTCCCGCCCAATTTTTTTTAAAAAAAATATCTCTTCCATAAGATCTTATTCCCTTACTCCGTTGTTGTTGTTGTTGTTTTGCATCATCTCATATGTTATATCTTGATCACACAAACAACCTCAATTTAGAGATGAGCTCGTTGTAATTTTTTTAAAAAAAAATAATCAGTTTTTTTGAAAAAAATTTAAAGATTACAATATGACTTTCCAGTGGCCTTGAAAGAGAAAATTCTGATTGGTTGAGAAACTTATACAGCAGCAATTATTTTGTGATTCGTTTTTATCTCTCCCTCCCTCTCTCTCTCTCTTTTCATCTATCTGACCTTAAGTTTACAAGGTCAATGATTTGATTCATTTAAACAATTTCATATTTATTGAGAGAGAATGGTTCATTTTTTTATCCGTTTTTTATTCTCCTTCTACAGAAAACAAATTCATTATGAATATTATATTTTATTTTTTGGCTTTTGTTTAATAAATACAATCTACCTTATTGGTATTGATGATCAAACTGAACTCCAAATTGTTATATGTACTGATTGAACATTTTGTTTTTGTATGATTTTTTTAAAAAAAAAGCTTTATGGGCATTACATTTGATGGATAGATAGATGGATGAATGGTTAGATCATTTTGAGATTGATGAGAACTGGATCAACCTATTTGTAATGAATACTCATTTGTCGATTTCTTTCCACTTGTCTTTTTTTGATATTTAAGATAATAATTCAAATAAATGAAACAATTGTAAATGTAATTATCGTTTGTTTTTATGCGGGTTTTACGAATTGATGGTGCATATGTGCTTTCAGGTGGGGTTTTTTTTCTAAGACCGCGTTATTTTGTGGAGGCTAATGGTTTGGATATAGGGCAAAACACTTATGATGTACTGGGAGATACTTTCAGTTTTGATTTCTGTATCAGTAAACACTATAACCTCCATCTATTTTTCGTAGCTCTAAATAATTTATAGGACGTTTTATTGAAGAGATCAAGCAAATAGAAATTGCGTTCACATATGCAGAAATGAAGAATGTTTTGTTATGTAAAGATTGAATCACAATTGGAATCCTATTGTCAATATCAACACAACAACCTAGATACATCCAGTTAACGAGTTATAACTACGACGAAAACTATGTCGTGAATTCAACTTCTAGCTGCCATCCTATTTTGGTTGAAAAGCAGTTATTTTTTCTCTTTAGGAAATGAAATTTCTCCGCATTTTGACATAAACCTAATTCAGTAGATACTGATTAGTTTTTCACATCAGTTTAACGACTCAGTAAGAGAGAGTAATTGTATCGTCACTCAATCGGTCAGAATGTAGTGAACGAAAGAGTCAATTGGGGAAAATCAATTTGTTAGATAATACAAAATTACAGAATGTCTTCCTAAAATACGAAAACCGTACACTAACTACTTCATTTGTACGTCTTCCATCAGCTATCTCTTACAAAATTCATCGTTCTTTCATTCCTATTGCTACTACAATTACTCTTTGTTTACACTTCAATTCCATGATTTCAACCGTTTGCTGTCACGCATTTCATATTTGACTGGTGTTACATATTACTTATGTCAACAGGCATAAGTACCATACACCACAAGAATAGTAAAGTTTAATCTTTGAATTAATATTAATCCAAGAGTATTTGTTAGAGATTTCCTTAATTCTTATCAAATAATCAAATTCAATGATAATCCAGTAATAATTATTGAAGTAAGTTAATGTTGATGGTTGATCCATTTTGACACCGTTGTAATTCTAACCCTTCATTCAATCTACTTAACACTATCACATTACTTTCCTTCCATTCATTACTGTTAATCAACTGCAAACAATTTACGTCAGATTTATACCACAAATGTTCTAGATATGTACATATTAAGATTCATTATTTATAATGCACATAATAGTCTTGCCTACTATATACACATAACCGAATGAATGTTCATAATATTGAATAATGCAATGTACTTTTCTGAACTTCTTAGTGTTCTGATCGGTACAATGATAACGGTTATAATATGGTTTGGGCTATCGATCTTTATTGCATTGCATAAGCATTAAATCATAATAATTTCTAAAAGATATGTAATCTAGTTATGTGTATTTTTTTGAGTGGAAGTAATTAATCCCGCTTGATTCTCTTAGGTATCATACATCCATGAAATTTCATTGGATCGAACTTACGACCTTATCGATCAACAGTTAGCACAGTATGATTATTCAACATAGTCAGAATTCCTTTGTACATTTTTCTCGATGAAAATGATTTTCAAATCGAAGTGATTAATTTATTTCAGCAGTAGTATATGAATTTAAGTAGTGTACAAATCTATTCATCAGATAACACTAGGTTCTCAGAGATGATAAGTAAGGTTGCTACTAGATTCAACATAGAGACTTTAAATCAAACTAAATGATAGCATATTATAGTTTAATTCAGTACTTTCTAGTGTGCTTTCTGGCACTAAAACATGAACAAGTAGGTAGTTTATGATGAATATTTAACAAGTGCTTACTGCAATTGTTCTCCATGACTGAATGTGAATTCATGTTTTCTTGTTAGATTGTGGCATTTATAAATAATAAAAAAAAACTACTGAAAGGACTGACAGTACTTAATATCTGGGATGTTGATAACTTTTGACTATGTTCTTTTGTTCTTATTAACAAATAGTTGTTATAGTTCTATGACAGATAGAGTGAAAGTTGTATATAAATATGGTTAAGGTTATACATGATATCAAAGATTAATCTGATCTAACATCGAATATCAAATGAATCAAGTTATTAGATAAAACATCCGAACCATTTAGAGTTGCAGTCAACACTGTTTCAACTTTCAAATATATTCTACTCTGTCACTGTATCCTAAATCAACTCCTCAATAAACGCTCTTTTTAGAATCAAACTCAGGTTATAGATGTTCTCAAGGAAGCATGTTAAAACTTTGCATAACTCATTCTTCCTTAATGTGATTCTTAATATTAGAAACTAATATCTCTTTCAATTGAAAAGTCACTCATGCATTAGTATTGTATACCGTGGTGAAATTAAGTATTAAGAGTTCTATGAAGTTAACTTGATAATAAATTTTCCTATCAGGGGTGTTTCAGATGTTGTTGAATTTTGTAGTTTACCTATATGGTTTACTTAGCTGTTGAAAACTGGAAAGATCTGAACAGCTGTTTCGTCTTAGGATGGGACTACTTACCGGTATACGATTACAACTAGACATATAGACCTCCAAGAAGTTTAAAAGAAATGTGTTCATTCCACAATGAGGTCGTGGACTCCGTCACCGTTGCATAGTCCCATATTGTGGTGTATGCTACAGATATCGGTAGATATCATTAAAAGTATCATCCATTGAAAGTGAAATGCCTGGCAGTAGAAGATTAAAAAGAAGAAAAGAGAACGAGAACAATGATTGACTGGTGCGGAAATAAAGAAACAATAAAGTCTGAGACGATTGATTGATACTTTGCAAATAATGTATTTATTATAAGGTTCTCAGATTTTGCTCAAACATTCTGTATTGTTGTATTGAAATACATTCGATTGTTATATAGATAAGATCATGAGTCAATTGAAGCTAGACCACCATGGGAAGTCTGGAAGCACTGGACGGCCGTTTCGTTTTATTGTGGGACACCTCAGCAGTGCGCATCCATGATCCCGCCTCGCTAGATTCGAACCCATGACGTACCAGTCTCGCGCGCGAGCACTTAACCTCTAGACCACTAAGACGTTATCCACCGGTGTTAATTTCTAACCTCAACCAATCCACGAAATTGCGCGACCAACTTCCATTGTACTGAGGTAGATGCCTGTCTCTACCTGACATGAATTAGCTCCACTGGCCACGACTTCTCACTAGAACTCCAGGAATTACCTCATGGAACCATTCACTAGTGAGCATATGATCATTATCACATGGGGGTTTTGTGGAGATTTTAGTAATTTTTATATAGGTAAAATCATGAGTCAATTGAAACTAGACCACCATGGAAAACTTGGAAGCACTAGACATTCGATTGTCTTCACTTGTTTTCTTGTTCACTACAACACAACGTCGAGATTACTGTCCATTGTTTTCTGTTTTTCAATGAGTACCTGACTAAGATCAGTTCGTGACGTAAAGTATAATAACTATTTCCCTCCCTTTTATTTTGAATATCTATTATTGTTTATACTAGTAAAACAACATTATCTTATTAATTACAATCATATGCCATAAATATTAATTTGGTTGTCATTCGAGATTTTTGTGCATTTACATTGCACCTCAGATACACGTATATACACACATACGCACATAGACATGTAATGAGTTATATATATAAACAGTATAATGATAAATTTCTTCCTCTTTTACATTTTACCATAAAGAATAATTCATGAAATAAATACCTTTTGTTATTTGCTAGATGAAGGGAATAGAATTGATTGAATAAAGTCTATATCTAATCCCTCTTTTTATGTTGTCTTAGCAACAGACATATATATATATACCTCTATATATAAATATTTTAATTTTAACGTCTAGTGGAAAATAATCAATCAGACGGTACAGTAAGTTCTATTAATAAGGTGATGTTTTGTGAGATAAGAATGTTTTTGATTACCATTATAACATAAATCTTAATTGAATAAATAGACTCAACTTATTTTCATTGTAGAATATCATGAGTCAATTGAAGCTAGACCATCGAATCTTGCGAGGCGGGATCGTGGATGCGCACTGCTGAAGAGTCACACAATAGGACGAAACGGCCATCCAGTGCTTCCAGGTTATCCATGATGATCTAGCTTTAATTGACTCATGATTTCAACTATATAAAATACATATTGAATAGCCAGTTTAAGGTTTGTTTATATTAGGCTTTTATTTTTGTAATTGTTCAATCTAATTCACACATAGTATTAAACTGATCTTGTATGGTAAAAGATCTAAAACTACTTTAATCAGTGAAAGATGGATAAAAACTTGCATTTGGATTGTATTATTAATCACTGTTGAGTATAATCAAATGTCAAATATGTATGTATCATAATGCGTTATTGTACTACATTAGCTGAATAATTAAATAGAAATTGATATAGTTGTTTCATTCTAGCTTAACTCACTACAATCCTAAATGATATTTCATCTATTTCGAAAGTTATATATTGGTCCTATTGTGTTGTGGGTTACTTATGTCCACATAAGTAGTATATAACGATGGTCGAGCATAGAATGTTTTTCAGTAGAAGATTGATAAGGAAAGAATCGGAACAGAAAGCAATTGGTATGGGATCGCATGAACAATGAAATCAAAGAAGATGGACAGATATTCGCAGAAGGAACAATCAAGATTGAGACGATTGATTGTTATTTTGCAAATTAACTGTTTACTGTATGTTTATCAGATTTTAGTGAGATAGTCTGTAATTTTGTGCTCAAATACAATCGGTTGTTTCCACTTATGTATTCTTTGTCACTACACTATTTATGCTCATATTATAGGAATGCTATGCTATATTAGTTTTAAAATGAAATGAAATATTCATTAAAGTCTTCAATCTATTTTACGAAATATTCTGTAAGTAAATTCACTTAGTATCGTTTGTTTGAATCTTCCCATTGATGTTTAGGACTGCAACTGGTCAACCTCTAATTGGCATATGTGCATACTGTGCGTATTGCCTCGATATAGCCTAAGTTCACGAGCATTATAAGCAAGGATGGATAGTAGCTAGCAGTGGAATCCAGTTTGATGCGCGTTTCGTCCTATTCGGGACTCGTCAGTTGGATGTACCTGCATCTCAGAGTTGATATCCAATCTGGGACTCAGTAGTTGAGTGGATAATGCGATGGCGTTTGAAGCGAAAGGTACTGGGTTCGAGTTCCAGAGTGAGCATGAACTCTGAGATGCAGGTACATCCAGCTGATGAGTTTGAAATAGGACGAAACGCACGTATTGGATTCCACCGCTAGCCACTATCCACCTTTGCTTACTCTGTGAGTAGTTTTCAAATTTGAATAATAAATAATTTTTATTATCATGATTGGTGAAGGTGATGATTTACAACCCAATTATTGTTATTTCAGATGACAATAACATCAATTACTGCTTCATGTTTAATGTACAGTAATTTTTTGTCTCGTAATTTTTAGACAAATAATAAATAAATATTCATTTACAAATATGGAACATTCTACATGGAATCCAATAATTTATATTGACAATTATCGTATTGTTGAGTAAGTTAATTGTAAATCAAAAATAAGTACACAATTTGAAATTGTAAAAATTTCACAAATTCTATATATTGATAATAAGATTATGTTTAATAGTTGAGTTCATGAGTCAATTAAAGGTAGATCATAATGGAAAACCTAGAAGCAATGAATGGCTGTTTCGTCCTACTATGAGAATCCTCAGTGGCGTGCACCCACGATTCCGGACGCGCATCTGGAATCCAAAACCAATTGGTCTCGGGAGAGAACAACTAACCTCTAGACCACTGAGCCGGGCGGCATCCAAGGATGTTATTGTCTAACTTTAACCAATCCGAGAAATCGAGCCACCATCCACGATTGTCATCAGTGAGTTACTATTTAACAACAGACCTGGTTGAACTCCATTAGTCATTACTTCTCACTAGAACTACAGAAAATGCCTCTTTTAGACAGTTATTAGTGAGCACATGGTGATTATTATCGTCTGAGAGCGGAATCGTGAATGCGCACTGCTGAGGATTCTCATGCTAAGACGAAACGGCCATCCAGTACTTCCAGGTTTTCCATGGTGGTCTAGCTTTAATTGACTCATGAATTCAGCTTCAAATTACTACAATTCCACAAAACCCGTTTCTGATAATATTATGTTTGTCTGCTTCCTTTATTCATGATTGAATTCGATCAATTTAGTTGAAATATGGGTAACTAGTTTAAGCGACTTGATATCTTGGGAATTATGATAAGATGTTAGGTGACTGGAAATTGTTGGCAGTAATTGAAGATTAAATACTTCAATGGATTGTTCTAGAGTTGTATCTTACAAGGTTTCGTACTGACTATGTCCAACCAAATAAAATATTGTAATACTTTAGAAACTTGAAATTGATACATATACTTCGTACAGATAATGTATATAAACTTTCCAAAGGCTCAACTCTGGAAAATATTGCACTCCTCAGCAAGTACCTGTTTGTTATTAGTCAGGTAAAGTATTTTTATTTTAACTGTTTCAAAACAGAAATTAACATCATGTCGAAGAAGTTTATCTCGTGCTCATTGACTTTCGAATACAAGGTATCCCATTAATCTTGATCCAGCTTGTGAATTCACATCATCTAGGGTCAGAATTACACCCTAAAACTGCTAACTGATTGACTACTGAGTTGTAACCATCAATGTATTCATTTATTCTTTAATGTTAGTCGAATTATATCGCTCAAGTTGTAATTTGGTGAGCAGTCTGATTGACTTCACATCGTGTGTCTTGAGTTGAAATATCAGGTATTCAACAAAACTTGTCATCAAAACGTATCTGTTATCTTATGGTGATCGATGGTCATTTGAATTTGGAGTCCGAACAATTTAACCGCAAAATTTGAGACGTTACCACAGAGCTGTTTAGTCTATGACTTACTTACAGGACTAAGATATCTATAACTGGTTAGTCACTGCATAGTGCAAAATGTCATATTCATCTAGTATCAAGTGCTGATGAAATAAAATCTACTAAGCATGGTAAGCAGAGATGGATAGTGGCTAGCAGTGGGATCCAGGATGCGCGTTTCGTCCTATCTGGGACTCGTCAGCTGGATGTACCCGCATCTCAGAGTTCATGTTCACTCTGGGACTCGAACCAAGTACCCTCGCTTCAAACGCCATCGCGTTATCCACTTGACTACTGAGTCCTGATAGCCACTTGCTTGTGCGATGGGGTGAAGTTTAAATTCACTTAGTATTGTTTGTTTGAATCTTCCCATCGATGTGTTTAGGACTGCAACTGGTCAGTCTCTACGCACAGTATGCACATATGCCAATTAGAGACTGACCAGTTGCAGTCCTAAACACATCGATGGGAAGATCCAAACAAACAATACTAAGTGAATTTAAAATCTACTAAGTTATAATATGGTCACTTTTCTAAATAACCCAATATTGCGTGCATTATGTACACTGGTACGTAACCTAAACTCACCAAGGTATCCAACTAATTAACTCTAACTATTCATTATAAAAAGCGGGAAAGTTTTTTTCATTATACATTTCCTGGACTAACTTCAACTAAAGAACTACTGGAATCTAAATGAAATTAGACCATAATGTAAAAATACAAAATCTAATAATATCCAATAACATACCACATTCACAGCCACATTTGACCAAGTCTTGTACAAATGTTGTTTTCTGTACGATGTGGTCCGTTTGATTGGTATATAAACCCAGTATGTTTAAGAATAATGATTCATATTGCAGAGGCTGTTATTGGTGTTCCGGACGTAACTGGCTGGGCTAGGCAGAAAGCAAGACTGATATGTAGTGAAGACCGCTCATAAGGCTTTTGTGTATCATTGCTCTAATCGATAATTCACTCCTCTCTGATTGACGGGAATCATCACGTCATATATTTAACAGGGCACTAACTCAATCGATAAAACACATATGTCCCTTGTTATAACCATTATCACATTATTATTGAATAGATGGAATGCGGTTAGCAATGGAATCCAGAACGCTCGTTTCGTTCTATTTGTGACTCATATCTGGCTGGAGAGTCCCAAATAGGACAAAACGGGAGTCCTAAATTTCATTGCTAACCATATTCCATTTATTCTAATTTACTTTGTATATTTTGAATACTTTCAACAAATAGTTGTTTTATGGTATTTGTACATAGTCTTTATTGTAAGTTATAGTTTTAACGTGTAATTGATTGCTGTCCATAAATTACGAGGTAATCAACTATTAGTCCACTACTCAATCCTACAGACGGAGATTTATAAACTGTTGCTCATTTTTCTAACCTTATATGTGATATGTATATAAACACGTGATTTATGAATCTGAATAATGAAATAATACACGTAACCGTTTACCTAATTATCTTTACTAATTACTTCTTTCTATTCACTACAATACACCTGCATACACTTCCAACGACCTGCTATGTATGTGAGAAAGGACTAAGAATAACTAGGAAATTGTAATTAGCAGATCCAATGAAGTACACACAAATCATGGATATATATGAATACAAGTAGGACTATAACTTATGGACGACCTTTGAGCAACGCTCAAATGACCTTGAAAATGTCCATCTACTCACTAGGGTTAAATGAGGATTATAAATTAGTGAGAGGGACTAGGATTAGGATTTACCGTTAAAGTATAGGGTTAGAAACTATTTTTAATGTTTTCATCAAAAACTAACCTCAGCTATAATGCTGAAATGGTATTTAGCCAAATGAGTAGATGAATTTTGCGTCAAAATCTAAGACCTACTATCTTTAATCTGATTGGTTTGTCCATAAATTATAATCTCGCCATGAATATGCTCTTTTCACTTAAACAAGGACATATGATCTGAGACTTTGACTAAGTAATATATTCAAAATCCTTCACTAGTATATCTCGTTGAAAATCTCATATTTTTCACTTATATCTTGAATGAATAGATAAACGTAGATATATGATTTATGTGAATTCACTTAAACTGTTATTTTCAGATAAAATGTTGAAAACCATTAATCAGTCAGTCACAACGTAGAACTTCGTACGTACGTAAATCAGTTCGAGTTACCATGCCATATTAACACAGAGATGTAGTTGTCGATTCAAATCCCATTGTAGTAGAAGTAGTAAGAGTATAAACAGTAATCCAAAAGATTAGGGTTTGAAGATATTATTGAAGGAGTATAATCTAGTGAAATAAATTTGGAAAGAGTAAAAGGATAGGGACATGAAGAATTCAGATTAGAATTTGAGAGAACACAATGAGTGGATGCAAACGATTTTGAGTCATGTCGTTCAAGGTCTCTAACCATCAATTGCTATTATCTTGCGGATCCCAACCAAGTAATCTACACCTACCAACATGGCTCAGTCCAATTGTCAGTGACTTCATGGATTTGTGCCACATTTCGGTCTGGCTGCCCCTAGCTTTCCTCCAACCTACTCCTACACCATAAAACATTGCTCATCGGGGCAGTGGGTGGTTGGGCATACGTAACACGTGTCCCAGCCATCTCAACTCACCAAGTTTCACTACTTCATTAATCGATTTACCATCCTTACCTAGAAGCCGTTTCCTAACAACTGCATTACTTACCCATTACTTACCATTAGATCAATTAATAACCGTTGAATTCTTTCTCCTTCTTCCTCTTCTTTTCTTTTTCCTAAAGTGATCAACAAATTTCAGATTATGAAAATATATTCATGGCAACCTATTTAATAAGAGAAGAAAACTATTACGACAAATTATCATCTCAATCAAAATATGAATTATTAGACAATATTAATGATAATAATGATTCTTCTAATGCAAAAACATTAATTCGACAATTTCAATCCAAGTCCAACAATGATAATAATAACAGTAATAATAATAATAGTAATAGTAACAATAGTAATAATAATAGTAATAGTAATAATAATAACAATATTAATAATGGTAACAGTAATAATAATAAGACCAATGGTAATAATGGTAGTAGTAATGATAATAACAATATAAATTGTAGTAATAGTAATAACAGTAATAATAATGGTAGTAATAATAATAGTAATAGTAATGATAATAGTAATGGTAGTTATAATAATAACGGTAATAACAGTAATGGTTATAATGATAGTAATAGTCATAATAATAACAGTAACAATAATAATGGTAATAGTAATAGTGGTAGCAGCAACAATAATAATAACAGTATTAATAATAATAGTAATAATAATAACAGTAATAGTAATAATGGTAATAGTAATAACAGTATTAATAATAATAGTAATAATAGCAATAGTAATAATAATGATAACAATAATAATGGTATTAGTAATAATAACAGTAATAATAATAGTAATGTAGTGAACAGAACACTAGTTGGGGACAATCGAATGTATTTAAGCAAAGATTACAGACTATCTCAGTAAATTCTGATTACCAAAGAATGAACAGTCAATTTGCAAATTAACAATCAATTGTTTCAATCTTCACTGTTTCTTCTCTAATTCCATTGTTCATGCATTTTCCAAACGATTGCGCTTCATTTCAGTTCTTTCCTCATCGGTCTTCTGCCAAAATACATTCTATGTCTGACCCACACCATATACTACTTATATGGATATAAGTAGATCACACCACACTCGTCCCCCCTTTAAAGCATTCGTTCATGCGGTGGTTCTGCTCGCCGTGCCACTATCTTCTTCCACTGCAGTCTGTGCCAAACTCTCCGTCAGAATGTCGAGTCTGCGGCGCGCTGAACTCCATAGCTCCGTCGACCTGCCGGGGCACCAACATCCGCATCCACCCGGCACCTGGGACGTTCAACACCCGTACTCCACCGGCCTGCTGAGCCATCTACATCCGATGTCCGCCCAGCAGCCGCACGTCCCACTGCTTCTCTCCGTCGACAGCACCTGCTACAGCCAACGCCTCCCGCCAGAACACTCCACTCGACGCCAACTCTCTGCACCAGACTGCCCCAACTAGCACCTCCACTCCAGACCCGCAGCGGCGTCCGCAGAACAGCACCCTTCCTCCTCCTGGTTGGCAGCGACACCAAATGTAGTAAACAGAACACTAGTTGGGGACAATCGAATGTATTTCAGCAAAGATTACAGACTATCTCAGTAAATTCTGATTACCAAAGAATGAACAGTCAATTTGCAAATTAACAATCAATTGTTTCAATCTTCACTGTTTCTTCTCTAATTCCATTGTTCATGCATTTTCCAAACGATTGCGCTTCATTTCAGTTCTTTCCTCATCGGTCTTCTGCCAAAATACATTCTATGTCTGACCCACACCATATACTACTTATATGGATATAAGTAGATCACACCACAGTAATAATAATAACAGTAATGATAATAGTAATAATAATATTAGTAATAATAATATGGATCCTCTTCAATTAATCAATAATAATCAGCTGACTATAACCAATATTTGGCAACAATATTTATTACTTAATAAAATACGAAAATGTTTATTATATAAAAAAGAAAATTTTTTTATTCATGATGATAATGAAACAAAATTAATTAATAACGAAAAAGAAAAAAAATTTTTTATTTTATATTCAACAAATCAAAAAATTAATAATAATAAAAATGAAAAATTAAAAAATCATTATTATTTTACAAAAAAATTAGAACAATCAGAAGTGATATTGAATGAATTATCATTAGATAGATATACACAGAAATATATTGAAGTAAGTTATATAATGGGGGGGGGGTTGTTTGTGAAGATATTTATTTATAATATAGTTGAAATCATGAGTCAATGAGAGGGGGGTAGTCCCACAATAGGACGAAACGTCCGTCCAGTGCTTCCAAGTTTTCCATGGTGGTGGTCTAGCTTCAACTGATTTATGATTTCAATCACCAAGGAAAACCTGAAAGTAGTGGACGGCCGTTTCGTCCTATTGTGGGACTCCTCAGCAGTGCGCATCCACGATGTATATGTACCCAAATTCACTTGTTGCGAAAGTTTTATGAGTCCTGATAAATGGATGGCTGACGAAATCTCGGTTAAGTTTTGCAAGTAAATATCCGTTTGCTAATCAATAGGACAAGTGTAATGAAAAGTAGTTTGTTCTATTCTATTTTTGTTACAATGAAATGTGATATTCTAATTTATGATTGTGAAATAATGTCATAAAACATTAAGGATATTTATAGTTCACTAATATAGAATTATCGACTTCTTAAAAGCAACGCGCGTCCTGGATTCCACTGCTAGACACTATCCATCTTTGTTTAGAATGCTTGTGAATTAAGGCTATATCGAGGCAATACGCACGATTGTAGTCCTAAACATCAATGGGAAGATTCAAACAAACAATACTAAGTTAATTTAAACTTCACCCCATTGCACAAACAAGTGGCTATCAGGACTCAGTAGCTGAGTAGATAATGCGATGGCGTTTGAAGTGAAAGTTATTGGGTTCGAGTCCCAGAGTGAACATCAACTGTGAGATGCAGGTACATCCAGCTGACGAGTCTCAAATAGGAAGAAACGTGCTTCGTGGATTCCACTACTAGTCACTATCCATCTTTGCTTACAATGCTTACATGTTTTGGGAACAACAAATTAGCAATAGTGAGGCTAGATGTAACATGCTAGATAAAGATGACAAATCGATTGAAAAAGTTGTAAATTTTCGACGAACTGAATAGTTGGGAAACTTATGACGCATCCGAAACTTCTTTAAATCTTAAATCAAAAAATATTACTTGATATGCGATTCGGACTGAAAGAGAACTAAGGGTGATGAAAACAAGACGAAGCATCAGCCCATAAAATCATTGACTTTTGGACTAAACTGTTTAAGTACGTATATGACTCGGTTCCGTGTTTCACCTTCTCATATCCTGAGACTCTTAGGTCATATATTCCTCCTGATGTTGTTTTGAGACCTGACAATTATTAATTAAACAATAAATATACGAATGAAAATATAGGATGAAACGGCCGTCCAGTGCTTCCAGGTTTTCCTTGGTGGTCTAGCTTCAATTGACCAATGCTTTCAACTATACAAACTTACTTTAACCGAAAAACAATTAAAATGAAATGGCAACGAATAACAATTTTCTTTTAGATTTCAGACTTCACAATAATATCAAAAACCATAGATTTGTATGAAATTAGATCCAACAATATTTGACTGATATAACTTGACTGGTAGGTCATAAACTAATGTTATATATATATATATATATATCCGAATTTAGCAAGATTCTCATTTTATGCCATTGGTGATAACTGTCCAGCGTTCCTTGAGTCTTGATGCATTACCAATTGATCTCAATCTACTCAGGTATATATATATCCTCTTAATAAGTGTTTACTTATACGTTTTGTTAATTTAGGGGTTACAACGTATTGATTTAAAATGTGAAAAACTTGAATATATGATTAAATCAATGAAAGATACCCTTACCTTACAAATGGCTACTTATCAGAAACATAAAGGTGAGTTGGAGTTTGAATAATTGTAATTTTTTCTTCATACTTGAGAAGAATTATCACTGATATACTTTAAATATTATTTAATGACAATTAAAAAAGAAGGTCCTGAGTTTGAGTCCCACGTGCGGAATCATGTATGCGCACTGCTGAGGAGTCTCATAATAGGACGAAACGGCCATCCAATACTTCCAGGTTTTCCATAGTGATCTAGCTTAAATTGACTAATGAATTCAACTATTAAGGATTTATTTGACCGAAAAATAAATTAAAATCTAATTTTTTTTAACAGATTGATATTCATAGCGTTTATTTAGGTTAATTGGCAATTATATTTGAATATAGATACATCTCAAAGTTGATGTTCACTCTGGGACTCAAACTCAGTCGCTTCAAACGCTATTGTGCTATCCAAATAGCTGCCGAGTCCGGATACCCACTAGCTAAGTGGACAATGCGATGGCGTTTGAAGTGAACAGTACTGGGTTCGAGTCCCAGAGTGAACATCAACTCTGAGATACATGTATATCCAGATGACAAGTCCCAAATAGGACGAATCAAACGTCCTAGATTCCACTGCTAGCGACCACCCACTAATGCATTAAAATATACCTTACCTACTGATATTTGGTAGCAAAACGTGGACTAATCTGATTATCGTATTAACGTATTATCGTGATATACGTGAGAGAAAACAGTTATATCACTTACAATTAATACAAAACTCATGGTGCATATTCCACTGAACCCAATTTATTCAAAATAATACAAAGAATATTATACTAACTGAATGTTACACAATAAGGTGCCTTACTTCAAGGTATGTATGAAGATCTGGTGAGGCTTCGTAAATAACGGAGTTCGGACATGTTACGAGCAAATTAATTGTTATCAGTGACATGGAACAATTCTCGCGGCATGGTACAAACTGGGTTAATTTGAAAATGTGTTAGTTCGCGCTTATCCAGTGGTTTTATTAGTTAAGTTTTCATCCCCAGGTCGAAGGTTCTGGTTTCGGTAGCAGGTGAGGCCATATGTTGATACTGCTGAAGGATGTCGTAACAGGACAAAACAGATGTCATTAGATATTAATTTTCAGGAATCACAGCCTAGGTTTTATTTCTTAATAATTCGTCGACAAGATTGAAAACATAGACACGAAAGGTCAAAAGATGATGTCCTTTGACGTAACGTCATTGGTTACAAGTTTCCCACTCAGAGAGACTGTAGAATATATTTTTGAACAGTTTAGAGAACAAGAAATAGAAACTACAATCCCTGTGGAGATTATCAAAAAGTTGCTACTAAAATGTACTATGAATGTACATTTCAAATTCAATGATGAAATCTATAGACAAATAGGTGGTGTCGCGATGGGTTCATCCCTAGGTCCCATATTGGCTGATATTTTTCTCTCTAAACTAGAAAACAGATTGAAAAGTTCTCATTCTAATGCCGATACGTTTATTCTTTGTAACGACTATACTGGTTTAATAGAAACATTTGAGCTATTCAATACAGTTCATCCGTTCATAAAATTCCCATGTGAGGAAGAAAATGGAGGTGGAATAACCTTTCTAGATGTTCTACTTACAAGGAGAAAAGATGGTTCATTAAGAAAAAACATAAACTTGGACGGGACAATATACAAGCTTTCTTTGTTTTGTTCCTCTACAATACAAAAGGAACCTGGTTAAGACACTACACCATAGAGTCAAGACCATGTGCTTTCTAGATGCGGTCAAAGATGAAACGAAGGCATTGTAGACGACCCTGAAAAGAAATGGATATCCGGAGAAATTAACCATAATCGAGCACACTTTCTAATCAATTGATACACAAATTTTTAGCGTATTTTCACAAATTTCTCTTGTTTTACAGAAAAACTTGATAATGAAATAATGAAAAAATGTAAAAATTTCCCAATGAAGGAGTTCAATGATATTTCAAAGGAAACTACATTATCTGTAAGTTTCTTTGTTTTCATTGCGATATCACTAAAAAAAATATACTCAAATTTCGTTCCGAAAAAGAGACATGTCCTTGATATAACCTCAGTAAAAGGATAATGGATCACTTCAACATCTTACTAATTAAGATACACTCAATTTTTTATAAAGATCTTACTATCATCTGACAACAAGTCCATCCATATCATACATAACAAATAGGAAAGGTAATGTAAATGTTGAATTTATACTGGAAGTGATTCAAAAAAGATGCTTTCTAAAATATAAATCAACAAACCGAAACCCAGACAAACTCACTAAAAGAACAAATAATAAAAACAATCTCACGCAACCCATCAACAACACTACTTATTACTTGATTAACTAACTGACCACCGCATCTCCTTACGATATGATCACCAGCTAAAATAAAAACAATACACTTACTTAACCTGTAAACGACCAAATGAATAATAACTAAATCATACTTACTTACTTACTTACGCCTATTACCCCTCGTCGAGGAGCATAGGCTGCTCACCAGCATTCTCCATCCAACTCTGTCCTGGGCAATCCTTTCCAGTTCTTTCCAGCTGTTATTCATCCTTTTCATATCTGCTTCTATTTTCCTGCTCAATGTGTATAACTCCGCCTGCAGCTCTTCTAGAGTTACTGCCGGTCCTAAGCCCGGGTAAAGGAGTAGGGTTGGGCATGGGGTTAGCGACCCCATCCCGTAGAAAAACTAACTCGCTGAAAAAACGCTAACCAGAAAAAATAATTCAAATAACTAAATCATACTCACCTAAAATTATTACCATAATATTCCATGATATTTTACTACAATTAAATAAAGCTACAATCTTCTTTATATCACTACAAACTAAAGCACAAAATAAATCACACATTGAATTAAAACATGATCTCATGTTTTATTCCATCTTAACTGCTCTCAGTCTTCCAACTATAAAAATGTAACGTTTAGATGACTGGTAGAAAGTATCATTTACCTTTGATTCAATTCATATGATTATGTATATATAAGATTACAAAGTGGTTCAAACGATCGTGAATAACAAGGAGGTTTTCGTTTATTTAGCTTCCATGTTTAATATCGATGAATCACCGATGTCTCTAAGTAGAGATCCAGATATATGAAACAAGTGAAAGAGAAGTATTAGGAAATTAGTATGAAATTATATCCGTTTTAAATTTACAATCAGCATGTATAATTAAAATACTCTTTGTAACAAATATTTGTTTTCGAACTCCTTATAATTATAGCGATACAGGAGAGCAAACTGTTTATATATTGGTGAGGGAGTCTTAACTACCAGTAGGTACTGTAGCTGAATGTGATACGACTTCCGAACTGCTGTCATTTATAGGACAAGACGATAATTAAATTCGTTTTAATATGCATTTGCTTGGGCTATTGTTTCCTCAAAACCCGTTTCCTGGTGGTGATTTGGCCTACATGACCAGGTAAAGGATAGGTATGCCTAAAGTGGATGTCCACGATCATCATCCGAACCATTTCGATGGAAACAGTTGTGCTGTGTTTGAAAATATGCTTCTTCATCATATTCACCATTGCAATAGCTTTTTGATAACAAGCTTGTTACATTTAAGCAGCACTATTAGTATAACCACACTCATCCAGTCGATATCTTTCAAGATCCACAAGTGTCACAGGCTCCATTCAATTGTTGCATCTTACATATAGGCTACTATATTATAAATACAAATCCTGTAGAGTAGTAGCATCGTTTGTGGTCCGATATACTAGGAAACCTAAAGTATATTTCGCTATTACAGTTTGCCATGCTGATCTACTGACTAAGATTGTTATTGTCCAGAAGTTACCAATAAGTGATCTCACTGATACGGATAGATCTACAAATACATTTGATAAAATAACTATGGGTTATAATGTATTTGATTATTCAAATGACTTGACCTGTGTATATAGCAAGAAAGTGCGATTAGATTTTTTACTACCATGATGACTGGGTGTTAGTTAAAATAACCTTTAATAACCTTTTTTTAAACTCCCCTCTTTCTTCGTCTACCAATATTTATCTCCTGAACAATCTCATTGGTATCCGCGTATTTCTTTCATTTTATTTCTTAGCATACTGATTGATTTCGTAATCACTCATTAATTCCATTATCTTTACATAACCTCCTTTTTCTTTAATATGAGTACAAGTAAATATAACATTCATTATGCTCTGTATTACTTCTTTTCAACATATAGATAAACACATCAATCTTAATTCTATTTATTTATATATTTTGTGACTTAAATTCACTTCGTATTGTTTACTTCAATCTTTCGGATGATGTTTTGGACTAAAACCGATCAGTCTGTTATTGTCGTATGTGCATACTATGCGTATTGCCTCGATATTGCCTTAATTTACAAGTATTACAAGCAAAGATGGATAGTGGCTAACAATATCGAGGCAATACGCACAGTATGCACATATGACAATTAGAGATTGACCAGTTGCAGTCCTAAGCATCAATGGCATGATTCAAACAAACAATACTAAGTGAATTTAAAAACTTCACCCCACTGCACAAGCAAGTGGCTATCAGGACTCAGTAGCTGAGTGGATAACGTGATGGCGTTTGAAGCGAGGGTACTGGGTTCCAGTCCCAGAGTGAACATGAACTCTGAGATGCAGGTACATCCAGCTGACGAGTCCCAAATAGGACGAAACGCGCATCCTGGATCCCACTGCTAGCCACTATCCATCCTTGCTTAACATGCTTGTGAATTTAGGCTATATCGAGGCAATACTCACAGCATGTACATATGCCAATTATAGACTGACCAGTTGCAGTCCTAAACATCAATGGGAAGATTCAAACAAACAGTACTAAGAGTATTTGTCTTTAGGTTGTGTAAATTTACATAACTAAAACATCTACTCTATTTTCTTAATCAATTCCAGTCGGATGTAGCGAAACAATTCACAAATTCACTCAAAACAATCTTGGGACGTAAACAATATTTCCAAGTAAGTTGACAACTTCAAAAATTACAATTTAACTTCTTATTTACATTGCTTAATAATCTGTTCTTATCTTATAATTGAAAGTAAATTGTTTAGCTCTTCAATGATAGAAGAAACCATAATTATAGCTGACTCTATCATGGAATGTAATAACATGTTTATATTCGATAGCATTGTCTCATATTTGTGTTAGGAAGATGCATAAAAGTTCTCGAAAATACACTGAGAAGCAACTTATTCATTCATCATTCAATAAACATTTTGCCAGAAACATCTACAAAGTGAAAAGTCATAGTTCTGATTGGATCATTACCCACATTTCTACTATGTTTAGTAGCGTTCCAGAAATTTCCGGAAAACCAAGGCCATCTAAAACACTCTAGATTTTCTGTAAATAAATGAACCCTGAAGTAAAACGTTCTTTCCATATTTCTCGCCCTTTCTCTCCTGTTCACGTTGTTGTGTAGATTTAACGTGTGTGTGTTAGTAGAGAGCTTAGGAACCGAATCTAGCGTTCAATTAGAAGACTTAACAATGTGTGTTCTTTTAAACATGTGATAGCTAATAATATCTCATTTATACAACCGAAATATAACCCAATGAAATTCTTGAGTGGATAGCTATGATTCTAAGAATGTAAATTCATCGAGATATACAAATAAACAACTAAAATGGTAAATGTCTGACCACTCCAAGTATTTTAAGTTTCAGTGAATTGTAGGAATGCCAGAAGAAAAAGTATGGTCTGTAATTATACAGAAAATTACTACTTAGTAAATAAATATCACCAACTACATACATTTTGAAAAAGATAGTCAACATCATACGAAATTTCTATGATGGGTTGAACTGCAAAATCGTGCATGGGGGACAGCTCACAAACTTTCTTGAAGCAAAGACCGGTGTCCGGTAAGGTTGCATATTCTCACCCTTTCTCTTTCTTCTAATAATCGACTGGATCATGAAGGCGTCAACATCTGGAGGGAAGCACGGGATACAGTGAACAGTAGGATGCAGCTAGATGATTTAGACTTCATAGACGATAAGACTCTTCTATCGCTCACGCAACAGCAAATGAAGAAGGAGACGATCGGTGTACCAGCAGCCTCAACAGCAGTAGGTCTCAACATGCGCGAAGGGAAAAGTAAGATTCTCCGATACAACACAACATACACCAATGAAATCACAGTTGACGTAGAAGCTTTGGAGGATGTAAAAACCATTACATATCTGGGCAGCATCACTGATGAGCACGGTGGATCTTATGCAGATGTGAAGGGGTGGATCAGCAAAGCAAGAGCAGTATATCTACAATTGAAGAACATCTGGAACTCAAAACAACAACATGAAAGTTAGAATTTTCAATGCAAAGATCAAGACTGTTCTACTGTATGGGGCGGAAACCTGGAGAACTACGAAAGCAATCATCCAGAAGATATAAGTGTTTATTAACAGTTATCTATGCAAAATACTTCGGATCCGTTGACCAGACACTATCAGCAACAGCCTTCTGTGGGAGAGAACAAACCAGATTCCAGTGGAGAAAGAAATCAGAAAGAAGCGCTGGAAGTGGATAGGACATAAATTGCGGAAATCACCCAACTGCGTCACGAGACAAGCCCTCACATGTAATCCTGAAGGCTAAAGTAAAGGGGGAAGACCGAAGAACTCAGTACACCGAGAAATGGAGACAAATACGACAAAAATAAACAAAAATTGGATAGAACTAGAAAGAAAGGCCCAGGAAGCAGTGCGTTGGAGAATGCTGGTCGGAGGCCTATGCTCCATTGGGGGTAACAGGCGTAAGTAAGTAAGTAATATACATTTTTAACCAATCTCAAAATGCAATAGAAATATTGTTAAATACTTTATGCTGATTGATTCAATGAGATTTTAAGTTTTCCAACGAGATTATTTAGGACAAATAGCAGTATAAACTCAGTGACTGACTGCCTTAAATGTTAATTGCTAATTTAAACATTATCTGTCTCGATGATACGTAGACTGTCTATACAAATGTGGTTAGTTCAAATCGACTAATTATATTTGAGGGATATGAAGAATCCGTTTTTGACATTGATGATTTCATTCTTCATCAGAATAAAATGGCATTCATGACATTGAAAGCATTTATTGATTCATGTAAGAGTGGTTATAATCCTTGATGGCTGGACGGTGTTCATTCAGTTTTGTATAATGACAGTCATATTTATCAATTTAATTAGCAAAATACACTTTTGATTATTTTCTATTCAATTTAGATTATTAAGACTTTTGATTTGGAGAATTTTTACAATCAAATGAGTGTAAGCCAGCGTTTAGCCCAAACTACTTTCAAACAATGGAAAAAGCTCAGAGAAGAGAAACATACAATAGAGCTACACTCAGAATATATTCGTTTAAAGAAGAATAATAAAATTCATCATAACTTATGGAAATATGATATACCTGACACATTGAAGGTAATTTGTTCTAATAATCTTTAATCATTCCATTATTTTAACACTCAACCCCTACTTCATTCGTGTAAAAATTAATGATAAATACAATTCAGCTGACCATATTGAAGTTCATAGTGTGGTGTTCAAACAACCAAAATTCTTGTTTCAACTTAGGTATCCTAAAACATTAAACCACTAATTCACGTTTAAGCATCGTTTGAGCTGTAGTTAACTGCAGCTCTATATTATTATTATGTCAAGTGTAACAAAATCACAGGATACTGGATAGAAAACACAATCATAAAGGAAGATAGGACTTGAAATAAAAACTATACTCCAATATGAACATGTCTATCAAACGAACGGAAAGGTGATCGGTTTGGTACTGTTCTACTGTACAAGAACACGAGTGGGGAAAATCAAATGTTTATGAACACGAAATTATAGAAAATCTTAGCAAAGTCTGGGAACCGAACAGTATATAATTCATTTGAAAAATATTAATTAATCGTTTCAGAATTCACTGTTCATGCATTTCCACACCCATCACTCTTTGTTCGCGTTCTCGTTCTCTTTTCTTTGATCTTTTCAACCTTCTGCCAATAAGCATTTCACTTTCAATTGATGATACATATTACTTATATCCATCGACATCGATAGCACACACTATACTCGTTCCCCTTCAAAACAGTCGTGCTTGTGGTGGTTCTGCTCGCCGTGCCATATTATTCTTTACTGCAGTCTGTCCCACGCTCTCCATCAAAGTTTCGAGTCTGCGGTGCGCTGACCATCATAGATCCGTCTACCAGCCGGTGTCCGATGTCCGCCCAGCAGCTGCACGTCCCACTGCTTCTCTCCGTCGGCAGCACCCACTAAAGCCAACGCACCCCTCCATAACGCTCTACTCGCCGTCACCTTTCCCCACCAGACCACTCCAATTAGCACCTCAGCTCCAGGTCCGCAACGGCGTCCACAGAACAAGACCCTTCCACCCCTCTTGGTTGGTAGCAACACCGAATGGAGCAAACGGGAACACCAGTGGGGACAATTGAGTGTATTTGAACACAAAATTACAGGACATCTTAGTAAAATCTGAGAACCATACAGTAAATTCTTCATTTCCAAAATGTCAATCAATCGTCTCATACTTTACTGTTCCTTCATGTCCACAGCAATCTTTCACTGTTCTCGCTGCCAGGACTGATGACACATATTACTTATATCTATCGACATCTGTATCACAAACCACATTTTAACTGAAAACTAAAATTATTTCAGTTAACTTCAGCCTTTATATAAATTCTAGTTTCAGTTTAATTAGAATTCAAGTTAGCTATTAATTTTGATTCATCATTCTTAAACCAAATAAGTATGTTTAAATGATTCATATGCATTTTCTTATACAATTAGACGATTGAACTTGAAGTAACTGACTTTGAGAATGCTATGAAAGCTATTGATAAAAGACTGAAAATTGATAGTGGGAATTTTAAAATAACAGATGTAAGTAGTCGTTTTTATTTTATGATTGCCTCCATAAATGATAGGACGTTGTACTGTTAATATAAAGATTAAAAGTCATAAGTTTAAATCAAGAAACTATAACTGTAATACGACATGAACTTGATTTTCATTGTATGTTGATATATCAACTAGAGGACCAATGAACTTATTACGGAGCGGTAAGCAGTTATTTCTTTCTAGGCTTCTCAGGAATACATACTAATGGCTTTCAATTATTATGTGTTGTAGTACCGTGCTTTGATAACTGATAGCCTCGATAACCGTTATAATACAAGTCTTAACGGTGCATAATATCAGAAGGCAAAGGGAAGCGGCAACTACATTTTTATTGATGAATGATGCAAACCAGAAAGTTGTGAGCACATGAGCGAATGTTAGCGAGCAAAGCATACATGACACGTATTGGAGATGGCTGGGAAGCCAACTCATTTTAAGCAAGCGCTAATCAACACTCATAATCAGACAAGAATGAATGACATACACGATGAATAAGATACGAAGTGTGCACACATATACGCTCATATAAAAAGTAGTCAAGGTTAATAAGCGAATAATGAACAAGATCAAAATATGACTCATAACTTATAGGTGAATTAGCTTGGCCAGAAGCTGGAATAAAGTATATGGGCTTAACATGTAAACTGATACTACAGTGTTTAGAATTATCATGATGTGTGAGAAAGCCAAATGTTCGATGTCTTTTTATGTATGAGTTTGTTGAAATACTAGGCTGAGAAGTCTCAAACTTGAATAGTAAATTACTCAGAAGTTTATCCTAGTTCATGATGGAAACCATTTTCAATCTACGAGAATGACTAGCAGAATAATCCAAGATGTTCGTTTTGCTCAATTTGAAACTCACCACTTAGATATACATACTTTCCAGAGTTAAGAATTACATTGAAATTCAAATTTTGACACTATATTCCAAATGTCCTGAAACTTTAAATTTAAGACACCCACCCATAAAGCTTACATACTTAAGTAGATTGATCACATGCATTTTTCAATATTACAAATAATTATGAACATGACTGTCGAAAAGTGCCCATTATTAATGCATCCAGCTTACCTTATCAGAAACGACACGATTAGTGAACAAAGAACAATAACATTATTTTGTAGTTGAATTCATGAGTCAGTTAAAGTTAGACCACCATAGAAAACCTGGAATCACTGGACGACCGTTTCGTCCTAGTATGGGGCTCCTTACAAGTGCACATCCACCATCCCGCACGCGCAACTCAAACCCAGGACCTATCAGTCTCACGAGCGAACACCTAACCTCTAGACCACTGAGCCGGCTGGAACCTGACGGTGTTATTGTTTAACTTTAACCAATCCAGTAAATTGTGCCACCATCCACCATTGTCTTCAGTGAGTTACTATCTCACAACAGACTTCGTTGAACTCCACTGGTCAATTCTTCTCACTGGAACTCCAGAAAATACCTCTTGTAGATGGTCACTAGTGAGCACATGAGGGTTATTATCAGATGGGGTTTTGTGGAGCTTTTGAAACATTTCAACGCTTAAGAATAGTTCAAGTCAATAAAACAACTAAATCGTGTTATTAACTAAAACTTTCCAATTACTGAAACATTCTTTTCTTTTAATCTTATTCACTCTTTAAGTTGAATGATTTAACTACTTAAACCCATATGTTCTGAACTAAATTATTCAACTTATAATATGTAAATCCATTTGAGTTATGAAACTTTTCGATTATTTTAAAATTGCCTATTGATGTATTACAATTGTTGCATTGTATTCCTTTACAGATTTTAGAAATATTTACCGGTTGGTATTTAGATATCAGTTTATTTATTGTATTGGCTGCTTTGGCTGAAAGATTTTACGGTTTAGAGTAAGCTTTATTATTATTGGAGTTTTCTTCATTTGTTAGATTGTACTGATCACAGATTGATTTGAGTTTGAATATCATTCCAATAGCATTAAACAGATTTACTTTAAATCTAGTTTAAGAGTCTTCAGCAGTGTATATTTACAATCAAACCTAAGACCGTTGCAATCTACTGAAAACGCTTAAAAACTGGAATGACTGGATGAGTGTTCCATGAAAAAAATTCCAACTTCAATCGGTTTATGACAGAGCACCTTAAGTGGTCAGTGCTGATGTGATTATTCATCTGAAATATAAAAAAATTTTGAAAATTCTAATCTAAAATTAAACTAATTTACACAAAACTCCTTCAATTGGAGTATAATTATTTAAGAAATTACGTTTTGTGATAAAGACATCAGGCGGAAAATATCATTACTTCCCTTGATAAGATGGCAAAAAAATTGCAACTCAAGTGAATGATTCAGGTGGAGTTGTGTTCGCTGAGCTAGATGGTTCGGTCGTAGAACTTTCATTGTTCTTCTGAACAACATCATCAGCAAAAACTTCAAGTAGTGGTGAAGTATTCGAATTTCTTTGCTTAGTTCAAGATTAATTAGATTGAAAATGATTAGAGAATGAATGAATTCCTCTCCTTGAGCAAACAAAAGTTATATTTAATACAGCTGAACTTGTCATTTCGACACATAGAAGCAGGAAATTTCTTTTCAGTTAGTTTCTCATCATGACACTAGGCTGACATCGAACAATAAAAAGTGAAATCAATGCAAACTTAGTGATAATGCATCTGTTTTTAAGATTATCATCTGTGTTTAACTTGTCAAAGAACAATTAAAATAGATCATTTTATACGTTATCATTTGATAGATGCACAACTTTATCTAAACATAGATGAATCATTTCAAGTGATCAACTATATCCTAACAAATTAACCATATGGTTTACGTAAACATCTTTACATTAGGGTTGAAGTCGTCGATATCCATTGTAATAAATTAGGTGTCTGTGTTCTTAGGAAACTTGTCTAACCGTTCTCTCTACCTTGGACACTGATGTAGCCGGTACTACAGGGAATTTCAAATATCTTGTTATTCATTATCTTCTATTTTTTTTTATTTACAAGATTTCTAAAAAGCATTATTTCATTAAGAAGTTGATAAACGGTTAGTAGTATTCTGCTAATAAGCTTCAATTAAACCCTTAACCTATAGGCCTCACATCTATTGACCTATAATCCAAAAATTTACAATCCTAACTTTGGTACATTTTTATAGGCTTTTGATAATTTAATAAGGAACAACTGATGTGTAATTTCAAAAGTCTACATCAATTATGACTACAGGCTACTTAATTGCATATATATATATATACTTGACCTACTTTCCTAGTCGATAAATAAAACATATCTGAACATTCACTTAGTATTGTTTGTTTCAATCTTTCTATTGATGTTTAGGACTACAACTTGTCAGTCTTTTATTAGCATAGGCGCATACAGTGCGTATTGCTTCGATATAGCCTTAATTCATAAGCAATTGTAAGCAAAGATGGATATTGACTAGCAGTGGAATCCAGGATGCGCGTTTCGTCCTATTTGGGACTCGTCAGCTGGATGTACCTGCATCTCAGAGTTCATGTTCACTCTGGGACTGGAACCCAGTACCCTCGCTTCAAACGCCATCACGTTATCCACTCAGCTACTGAGTCCTGACAGCCACTTGCTTGTGCAGTGGGGTGAAGTTTTTAAATTCACTTAGTATTGTTTGTTTGAACATTTCTTCACAAAGTATCGAATATACCTAAAGGTTTATTTACAAAAACCCAAGTTTATTCCATACACAAATCAATTTGTTGTTGGTAGTAGTAAAACACAAGTTAGTTAATATAATACTGAATACTTAATCAGTATTATTATTACGTTTAGCATCCACTTAACAATATATTCTCTACATCTTATTGTATATCTTCAAGCGTAATAAAACGTTTTTGGTAAGTAAACAGAACAAAAGATATGAATTAGAATAAGCTGTACAAACAGACAAACAATATTGTTTTCAATTAGATTTTCATTAGGTTTCACATTAGCATATGGTAATACTTTTGTAGTGAATATAAACCAATCATGACAATTTATGAGTTCATCTAAGCTAAAATACCATTGAGAACCTGTATTTCGTAACCCGTGGAGTTCAATCCGTGTCGCGTAGAGACAGGTATCTACTTTAGACAATAGATGATTGATTGCGCAAGACCATGGATCGATTGAACTTAGACTTTAACATAGTTATATGCTGGTTCAATGATTTAGAGGCCATAAAGTTCGCGTGTGAGAAGAAAGGTCCTGAATTCGAGTTCCGCGTACGGAATCGTGGATGTGCACTTCTGAAGAGCCCCGTTCTAGGACGAAACAGCCGTCCAATGTTTCCACGTTTTCAATGGTGGTCCAGCCTAAATCGGCTCATAAATTCCACCATTAAAAATTATTCCAATCTCCACGATCCTCTATTCTAACTTATGAATAGATAATGACAATGCACGTTAAATCACAATGAGTGAAAAAATGTAAATAAGGTGATTATAGAGGATTTTTAAATTATAGTTGATGTCCTTATTTCTAACTACACAAGTGGTTTAAAATCCTAGGGAACACAACATCAATTAGGTTAAGTTGTTTTTCTGTGTTATCTAGTTGATAATTCAGTTAATGAGCTATAATTCCTGATGATAATGATGATGATGATGATGATGATGTAGTAGTAGTAGTAGTAGTAGTAGTAGTAGTAGTAGTAGTACAGAGAATATGGACTTCTCCAAAGGTATACCAGTAAGAATCGGCACAAATTTGAACTGTTTCCATGTACAAGGTTTCACAAGTTGAATATACTACGTTTGATTTTCACACATTTCAGCACTCAATATATTGACTTCTTAACAAATCAGGTAACATTGTATATTTACATCCATTTTAGTTAACATTAAAACTCTATTTATTAAATCTCTCATCTTATAAACTGTCAAGTTTTGTACTTTTTAATATCTATTCTTAGATCAATTGTTGGTAATAATGTACATAAAATTGGTACACAATCATTGTGTATGAAAATAAGGAAAGCAAGAGTAAGTGTTGTAATAATAATAGAAATTATCAAATTATTCATTTACTTAAATGAATTTGACTATAAAGATCTAATCTATTCAACATGTTGTAATTGAATGTTATTTACAATGTTCAAAGAAAAACTGTACTCTTTAATATAAGTATAATGTATGAATATACTGAATCAGAATCAAGTATGAGATATTCTATAGTGAACGAGGACACAATTGAAGACAACCGAATGTATTTGAAAAAAAAAAAAAATTACAGAACATTTTAGTCCAAATGTAAGAACCATACAGTGAATAGTCAATATGCAAAATGTCAATCAGTTATCTCAGAATTCGTTGTTCTTTCATTTCCATACCAATAGATTTTTGTTCTTGTTCTTTTTTATTTGATATTCTTAACATGCTACCTCTAGGTATTTCACTTTTGACTAATGATATATACTACTTATATCTGTTGACATCAGTAGAACACACTTCAATTTAGTTGTTTTGATAAAATGTAAAAATCATTTATAAAAAACAATGGTGTAATATCATGTAATACGGTCAATATGTTTAAAATGATGACAATAACCTATTTATATTGTCATCATAGGCTTAAGTTGTTAATTTTGAATCAAAATTTTCCCTTTTCTTTCCCCTGTAGATTGTGAACAATCCCCCGTAATCCTGACTATACCCATAATGATGAATTTATATATCGTTGTTTCTTTTTATGACTTACAAGTAGAGTAGCTAGTAAAATATGATGTTTCGTTCTTCTTTTTTTTCTTTCCATGAACTAACTATAAACAAAAGTTATTTTTTGATTGATCAAGACATTAACACCGGCTCAGGGGTCTAGAGGTTAAGCGTTCGCACGCGAGACTGGTTGGTCCTGGGTTCGAATCACACGAGGAGAGAGTCCTATACTAAGACGAAACGGTTGTCCAGTGTTTCCAGGCTTTCCATGGTGGTCTAACTTCAAATGACTCATGAATTCAACCCTTAAAATGATCAAGAAACTGTTGAAAACTCATTTGGCTTTTTTATTTGAAACACCTTCTTATTATTATACTTAGGTTATTCAGATAATTGAATATTTTCTTAATAGAAATTACAGTGAGATATTAAATGATACTTCTAGTGATTTATAAAATTTTCCAAAGTAGTATGGATCAAAAAGACAGAAATATAAAAGGAAATATAAAATTCCTTAAAGAAGGCTAAAATAGGCTCTGAAAACACTGAGAAGCATCTTATTCACTCAACATTCAATATAAGATTTGTCAGAAACATCTAGAAATTGAAAAGTCACATTTCTGATTGGATCAATACCCACACTCTTATCATGTTTAGTGGCGTTCCAGAAATTTCCGGAAAACCAAGGCCATCTAAAACACTCAAGATTTTCTGTAAATAAACGAACCCTGAAGTAAAACGTTTTTTTCCTCATATTTCTCTCCCTTTCTCTCGTGTTCACGTTGCTGTGTAGATTTAACGTGCGTGTTAGTAGAGAGCTTAGGAACCGAATCTAGCGTTCGATTAGAAGACTTATCAATGGAAGAATAGAAAATGAATACATTTACAGATAAAACAACAAACTAAAATTTAGAAATAAGAGAATATATGGGTTTACAACAAATAGTCTAACATTATATATTCAAAAATTTTATGGGATAGGAATTCATTCATTTATATTACTGACTACTTACATGAATATGTTAACGAGCTTCTAAATTAATCATACATATGTAATCTAATGGTTGAATTCATGAGTCAATTGATGCTAAACTACCATAGAAAATCTGGAAGCACTGTATGACTGTTTCGTCCTAGTATTGGACTCCTGATCAGTGCATAACTACGATTGAGCTCACAGGACTCGAACTATTAAATTACTATAATATCCTCAAAAACCCTTTTTGAATATATATAATAATTTATGAAGATTTCGTTATGAAATACCAAACATTATTATTTTATAAACATAAAAATTGAATGAAATATAATGTACCATTTTGAAATTACTATTAGTGTAGTGAACAGAATACGGTTGGGGACTATCTCATCAAATTCTGATAACCATACAGTAAACAGTTAATTTGCAAACTATTAATCAATTATCTCAATCTTCACTGGTTCCTTCTGCAAATATCAGTCCGTCCTGATTTATATGCCGTTGGGGCGTTATCGACTAACGGTTATCAGGATGAGTAAATTACGAAGTTTAAGGATAATATCGAATATCGACCACCACAACCAAATTCCTGGGTTACGATATATAGGCCAAGATATTTAAGAATTTCAAATTATTCAGCAGCATTCTAACTTATACATATTATAGATCAGAGGGGGGTATTGTAGAGAATTTAGTATTTTCACATATACATATTACTTACAATATATCAGTAGTAATGAGAATATATTTATTATTTTTACATTACTATAGGAATTATTCATACTAATCGGAGGATTGGATAGAAAACAATATTTTCAACAATCTTATATTTTTGAACCAATTATCAAATTAGGAAGCAATGAAACAACCAATAATACAAATCCAAGCGATGGTGACCCAGCTTCATCAATTCGTTCTTATAATAAATCAACTTTTCAAAAATCTAATCCATTTGGACATATTGAATTGAAAGATTTAAAGGTATTCTTTCATGCTGCTAATATATCACAAGTTCATGTACAAGAATTGATTATTACTTTAGATAGTAAACAGCAAGGAATAATTGATTTTGTCACATTTCTGGAGTATCTTCCCCTTTTTGTTGAATCCCATCAACATATTATATATAATCCATATATAAATAAAAATATATTCAATGTATAAAAATAGTTGTTTTAAATGAATGATTTAGTGAAGACTGGTGTCATTTTATAGGTTTTATTTGTTACTGATTGATTGTAGTTGGGGTACCACTGAAAATCATGAGACATCAGACAGATGTTTCACTTGATATGAAAACTTTCAGCAGTTAGCACTAATGACCCACCTAGCGATCGAATACAGAAACTTCAAGTGACTTAGCAAACGTTTGAATTGAAACCGGAGGATCCTGGTCTTAATATCTAATGGGGTCATGTGTACAAAGTGACGGATGATCCTTCACTTTGATAAAATAGCTATTCAGAACTCCGTGGTTTTACAGATCGATACACTTAACTTTGTATGCTGAGCGTCCCATATAGTAATAAACTCTACTAATATTAAGTGATACTCTGAATAATATCGGTCTGCAATGAATAGAAATCACATGTATGTTTTATTTAATATACTACGCAAAATTATGTTTGAAGTCAGTTGTGGGTGAATCAATAAAGCAGCTCTCATGAATGCTAAATTGTTCAACAATATGACTCACTTATTACCTAGATTTAATCTCAGTCTGACGAAACTTGTATTACCTTCTTCCTCAATAAGTCTAATATACATACTAGACGCCTTCAGAAACACCGCAAACTAAATTGAATAAAGTTAAGACACACCTAAACCTATTTCAAACACTAACCATAATGTTGACAAGAATCTACGTTGATAAAGGTGTATTACCTATTTTCATAATTAATAATTGTGTTATATTGTTGTAGATCATAACGATAGGCCCTGATTGTTCAATCTCACCATTATAGACCTTCATTGACTGGAAGTTCCAATCAGATTCTAACATTATAATTTAGACATTGTAATTTTTCTGTTGTGAATTCAGTTACTTCTTATGACCCCTGTTATCAGTGAAACTTATAACTAAGTCATTAGACATCATGTTATTATTATTCTGTTTGTTTCTCTGAACGATCTTTTGTATTAAATCGTTGTTCATTGCAAAATTCATTAAACCTAAGTTTATACCCAATGATTTATTCAATGTTTACTTTGGTTTACCATATTACTATCAACTCACTTTAATCTTATAAATCGTCTCCTGATAAGAAGTACGCTTTACATGCTACACAGATGAATTACGTCTAACGAGAAATATCATTCAAAGCATACTTTCAGCTTTGTAATAGAATTTAGTTATCTGACTATATTAGTCATTGCTATACTGGAGCTCGAATTATTATTTCGTTATGATTACAAGTATGCAAGAAATGATCATCATCACAGGTGTGCTAGTTACAAATGATCTAAATGAATATACACTTCAACCGAAAACCTTTGCCCGAGCTTCATTACTTATGCATAAATATATGATCGAGATATAGCTTTAACCGGGTGTGTGGATACGGAAAGTTCATCTAGGGGAGTTGGAAAACCCTCATTCCAAACCAATGGTGCACATGGACTCCAGTATCCTGAGAGAACAAATGGCGTATGAACCAATTGTTGGTCACCGGCTACCATGGGACTACATCTCCTCACGATGCTTCCCAAAATAGTGTTTTCAGCCTTTAGAATATAGGCGAAAACAAGTAAAACCAATATCTTATCACTCCTCGTCAATATTAAGCAGGATCAACAGCGAGCACTACATTGCATAGCACGTTTCGTATGCAGGAAATTCTAAGACTGATATCCTTGGAAATTTGAACGTACTCGAATACGTTCGTTATGTCTGCATTATTTCGCTGTTTTTGACGGTGATCATTGTATTATACAGAGTGAAAAAAGACGTAATGAGAAACGATAGAAGCTTTTGATACTTGGTGGCAGATTAAAGACTCTTGATTGCTTGGTGGTTATAATATCATCGTGAGAAAGATTATCATACTGTGTTTGGACATTTTAGTCAGTGGAGTTGTTTTAGTCACACTTATTTCGTTTGTGTTGTTATTTCGGCCCGGGTAAAACAGTTTTATCAACCTTGTTAATATACTACAATAACAAACAAGCTTGGTATGTATCATTTACAGCAGCTATCAATCGAGGTCTAAAGAACGTTCGTCTTTATCGATTTCTTCCTGATTTCATGGAAAACGGTGAGTAGTTTTGAAAGCGTTTTTCGCACAAGGTATTTAATGATGATTCGCTCTAGCTTATCTGTTCTACTTTGAATAAGTTAGGAATTCTTAGCCTTCCGATCATTCCAAGTTCTCGGATTGTTAAGTGAAAGTCGTAGAAAAAGACTGACATCGATTGCTACGAAAGATGTAGCTTCAAAAGTTATGCAGTCTGAAATTATCCATGCATGGATAGCTGGATTGCATATCATAACAACTTCCTTTTCAATTCCCAAGTTTCAGATTACATCCTAGAGCCAAACTTTCACGTAAGCACAATACTTCTGAACTACGTATTCACTAGATAAGACATAGTTTGATTGTACTGGTTGTAAAATTCACATTTTATTACTTATTAGTAATCAGGATCATCCTGTTTTTGGACTCGCATTGGTTAACTTGATTATCAACAAGCTGACTATGTCCTTATTGGTTAAAACGAATTCGTTTTGAAGTCGTTTTGAACTCTTTATTTTTACTTTCGACTGGTTTACGACTGACTGTTTTTGTTGTTGTTGTTGTATTATCACCTTGAATGAACGCTTAAATTCAACTACTTATGATTTATCGTAGAACCACATATATTATTTATATATACTAATGTACAAACATTTCCGAATAATCAAGACAATCTTGTGACTCGAAAAGATCTCGGGTGCATTATTCAAGTGAATTCAACCGTCATTCTTCTCAGTTTGACATTGTTTTTTCAATTATCTTCAACGAAGTTACCTGAATACAAACAAGTAATAGAAAGATGATAGATGACGAGAAGAATATATTTGATTGTAGGTAACGGTACCGCAACGTGGGATTTGTCAAATGACTAGTTAAAGTGTGAGAAAAGTTTCACCACAAGTCTAGACGTTATATAATGAATATGTTTGACCAGGTGCCTTCATTCATTACGGTCAATCTATAGCGACCACCCTACAATCAATTCTGATTATGGTTAATTTTGGTTAAGCCTTTTGATTTAACAGGCCTACGTCATTTGGATAATAACAATAACAATTTGCCCTTATTAAATTTGACTATAAATTGTCTATGTAATTGCTTGCTACTCATTTGCTGCTCGCTCGCTCGCTGATCTTTGTTTAGGTGCTAGTAGCTTTCTGGCCTGAGTTATTTGACAATAAACTGTAGTTGCTGCCTCTCTTTGCTTTCTGATTTTATGCACTGTTAAGATTGGAATTATAATGGTTATCAAGGTGAACGATTAACGAAGCACGGCACTACAAATCATAACAACAATGTTCAACAAAACTAGTTGTTTTAAGGAGCCATTTATCACTAAACACTTATCTGGTATATGGCTGAAGAAACTTTATTTATCTTATGTACATTTAACTTTCAACCAACAGTCTTATAAAATACACCCATGTTTGTATCATTCACCAAAGAATAGTTCCCAACTTGCCCTGAAAATGCTTTCTAAACTAATGAATAAAACTTTCCAATCTTCACCCTCATCTTAGTAGACACTTCAAAATAGACTATCTAAGGAGTCATATCCGTATCAAATGTATACTGTTATTTTTTTGTTTTAAAAAGCAAAATGATTTTTATCAGTAATGTTATATTTGCCTTAATAACAAACTGATGATAATAATGTTCCCTTCTATTGGTATTCATTGAATCCCATTCCAGGTAAAATATGGTTCATTAATAATTGATTATACTGTTGAATTTTGTCAACTGAAAGTCTATCTGAACAGAATGTCTAGAAGATGAAAAATAAGTATTCAACAATTTATGAATATATAGTTGAAATCATGAGTCAATTGAAGCTAGACCATCAAGGAAAACTTGGAAGCACTGCTTGACGGCCGTTTCGTCCTGTTGTGGGACTCCTCAGCAGTGCGCATTCACGATCTCGTCTCACGAGATTCTAACCCAGGACCTACAAGTCTTGTTTTTATCAATAAAAATATTATGAAAATTGAATATGTTTATCAGAAAAAGTCAACTGAAATGAATTATTAAACAATTAATATTGGATTGATCAAAGTTATAGCTTATAAACCACTGTCTATCTTAGTGACTGATAATCGATAAAGATGTGTAGAAGTTAATCTTCAAGTATCGATTTAGCTTGTAGTGCCGTAAATCTGATTTCGTCTATACTCGTATATAATAAATGACTTTATCCGCGTTAGTGAATAACGGTGTTAAATAAGTCAAATACGAGAATGGATTTAGAATACATATAATTTCTACACTCATTGATCAGGCCAGGGAATCAGAGCGATGAAGCGAAAATGACATGCATGGGAGATGGCGGAGAAACCAACTCGAGAGCGAAGCGAAAGATAATGCGTATTGGAGATGGCTGGGAAGCCAACTCGATTTAAGCAAGTGTTAATCAACATTTATTGTCGGACAAAAATGACTGACAGACATACGATGAATAAGATACGAAGTGTACACATATATGCTCATATAAAAGTATAGTCAAGGTCAATAAGCGAATAATTAACAAGATCAAAATATGACTCATGACAGGCGAATTGGCTTGGCCAGTAGCTAGGATAAAGTATATGGGCTTAACAAATAAACTGATACTACAAGCTCATATGGCTCTCATTCTCATTGCGCCTCAGAGTTTATTGATCTGGTCGATTCTATCATTATGGATCATGTAGTATAGATCCAAGTCATTTTCAGGAATTTATAAAGATTTATATTTCAAACAATCATCCTAAGGAAGGAAGTACCAGCGAGGTTACCTTAACAACAGATGATTCAGAATAGTCAGAAAGTGTGTGTCACTTCAACAAACCTGACAATAAATTATAATTTACATTATCTTAGTGTCCGGTTGAAAGTTTAATTCCTCATTAATCTTAAAACTAGTTACAATACAGATAAGCAAGAAATCATTTATATGGTGTAGCGAATGTCACTTGTCTAGTAAAATGTTCAAAAATATACAAAATGAGACTACTACGAACACAGTACTGAGCAGCATATATATATATATATATATATATATATATATATATATATATATATATATATATAAGCAAAGATGGATGGTGGCTATCAATGGAATCCAGGAAGTGCGTTTAGTCCTATTTAGGACCCATCAGCTGGATTTGCCTACACCACAGAGTTGATATTCGCTCTGCGGCTCGAACCCAATCAGAGACTGATCAATTGCAAACTTTTACATCAATGGGAACATTCAAACAAACAATATAAAACGAATTAAAACTTCATCCCATTGCAAAAACAGGTGCCTCACAGGGCTCAGTAGATAATTGGATAACGCAATGGCGTTTGAAGCGAACGGCATTGGGTTTAAGTCTCGGAGCGATCAAACACTGTCTTCATACAACTTCATCAGTGAGTTATTGTCGTTTGATCACATAACCTTTTTTTTCTTTTCTTCAACTTGGAGAAAACGTTTGACTGTTCAGGCATATGAATCACTTTTCATAACTAACTATTAGCATTTTTATATTTTTCTAGTGTCTATCACAAATGGATTGTAACTACAGAACCATTGAAAAGTAAATAAGTAATAAATAATCGTTTCTTCACAGTTTACGATGTTTTCAACGGACTGTGCTTATACGCAAAGATGGATAGTGACTAGCAGTGGAATCCAGGACGCGCGTTTCATCCTATTCGGGACTCGTCAGCTGGATGTACCTGCACCTCAGAGTTGATGTCCACTTTGGAACTCGAACCCAGTACCTTTCGCTTCAATAATATTTAATAATATTCATGAGAAGATTTGTTAAAACTTACTAGTATTGTGCAATACATGTGTCTAACATGTGAATTAATTTTGTTTTTCTGTTTTTTGATCATTTCTGTTTATAAAATAAAAATAAAAAGACAAAGTGATAATATTTCTCAGCCAAGTTTAAAGATTAAAGAAGTTTGTTCTATCTTATTTAGAATTCCCCAGTTGAATATAAGTGGATCACTTTGTTGATATTCACACGGAAACTCGAACCCATTGGTTCTTTTTTCAAATGCCCTTTGTGTTTTCCATTGAGGGAATGGCCATCATTTTATTCAACCAAATGAGTTTTAAATAATTTATAACAGCTTAAATCATTACGTTGTTAGTGCTAAGGTCTCCAATTCATCCGTCTTTTTTCAGCACACTTACATTCTGAGTGAATTGTCTTCATTTGACCGTTAACTCAAAGTTACTTTTAAGCAAAGCTGAACCGTGGTTAGCTTGTAACTTATTGGTGATGTGACGACAGTCCGTTTAGAATCCACATGTGCCAAAACAACAGTTATCAAAGGTAAAATTCCTACCTTTACAGATTACAATAATATATAAAAATCATTGCAGGATTCTGCAAAAACTTATGACTTTGAATGATTCATTACTGCTGGTGACATTTGCCTTATGCTTGAAAGGGTTAAACCCAGTTGTTGTAGATTCTCCTAAGAACTCATCCATCTTATGACTAAATCTATATTTTACAACTTATTATTGGTTGGTCACTGAGCATTTGTAATAAACATTATGTTTGCCTTGCTATTTTAGTTGAGTTCTATCAATGAAGTTACAGTGAAGTTGCTGGTGTAAGTGACTAACACTGTGTGCATTCTTCTGAGATGTTAAATACCTATAGGTAATTTGTAGGGCTAAACATGATTTTTTTTGTAAATTCGATACACTAGTAGAAGCTTCTGCATCAGTAGGCCTCAACATACACAAGGAAAAGAGCAAGAACTCCAAACACAACACGGAGAACATCAATTCAATCACACTTGATGGAGAAACTCTAGAAGAGGTGAAAGCTTTCACGTACCTGGGAAGCATCGTCGATGAACAAGGAGGATCTGATGCAGATGTGATGGCAAGGATTTGCAAAGTAAAGACAGCATTTCTACAACTGAAGAACATATGAAACTTACAACAACTATCAACCAATATCAAACGCAGAATCTTCAATATGAACGTCAAGGCAGTTCTGTTGTATGGAACTTAAACTTCGAGAACCATTACAACCATCATCAAAAAGACACAACAACGAATACCCTCGGCAACAGAATACTGTGGAAGAGGATAAACCAACTTCCAACTGAAGAGGAAATTGAGAAAAGACGATATAGTTGGTGGATAGGACATACGTTACGGAAATTATCAAACTGAACTATGTTGGAACCCTGAATGGAAAAGAAAAAGCGAAAGACCAAAGAACACACTGTGTCCGGAATTGGAGGCAGTCACGAAGATGATAAATAACAACTAAAAACAACTGTAAAGGATTGCTCATGAGAGAGTTCAATGAAGAATGCTGATGGGCGGTCTATGATCCTCTACAACGGGTATCAGGCGTAAGTAAGTAAGTACCCGATAAACGAACTCACCGATATTATCATTAAACCCTCACCATCCCAATTATCTCTGACCTTTGAGTGACTACATTTTATTTATTCGTTAAACATAAGCTTGTACCTCTTTCAAAACGAGACTAGATTTTTATTGAATCATTTTATCATGCTCTTGTTACTGTTCGACAGATATGTTTTATTGTTTCCATTGTAAAGGAATGTTTTATTTTACACTTTCGTACTGATTGTATTTATATTATATTTTAGAAACAGATTGTAATTAGTGACTGTATATCTGGTTGAGTGCTTTGAGTATGACTCTGAAACAGTTCAGGGACTTAAGACAAGAATTCATCTGTAGGCGAAATTAATCTAACATATAATATCATAATGGCGATAGTCAACATTTGTATACTAATGTCACAAAATGTAATACAATGAATCAGAAGAGGTTTTTGTGGAGATTTCAGTATTTTCATAATTGAAAGCATGAGTTAATTGAAGCTAGACCACAGTTTCATAGTTGAAAGCTTCAATTGACTTATGCTTTCAACAATGAATCAATCAGAAATCAACCTGAATGATAGTTACAAGTGACTGACCAAGAAATAGCTTACATTTCTAAGGATGTAGAAATATACCAATGGAAAATGATGTATCCATTATCAAAATCGTATACTATACCTCACAATATAGATACATAAAACTGACCTTCAATTTTCATCCTTTCAAGTATATGCTTTAAAAATGAAACTCCTAACATGTATTCAACAGTCTTTTGTGGAACCTAAAGTACAAAAAATTTTATCAAACAATTTTGATAATCGAATCTAATACAACAGATGTTTTATTATTCAGAGATGAAGATAAATTCAATACAGGAATCCAACACAGTGTGACAACAGTCAAAAAGAAGAAGGAGGATTTCTATTTTTCATTCTAATGAATGAATGACTATTCTTCAAATAGATCAGAGGGGGTTTTGTGGAGAATTTAGTATTTTCACAGTTGAAATCATGAGTCAATTGAAGCTAGACCACCATCGAAAACCTGGAAGCACTGGACCGCCGTTTCGTCCTATTAAGGACATTAGATATTAACACCGTTGGTTGCCAGCTCAGTGGTCTATCGGTTAAGGGCTTCGGCTCGAGACTGGTAGGTCCTGTGTTCGAATCTCGCTCGCGAGAGCGGGTTCGTGGATGCGCACTATTCTTCAAATAGTCAAAAATGATTATCTGTTTGTGAAGCTGTGTTAGTATTTATGAGCAAAGATGGTTAGTGGCTAGCAGTGGAGTACAGGATGAGCGTTTCGTCCTATTTGAGACTCGTCAGTTGGATGTTGCTGCATCTCAGAGTTCATGCTCACTCCAAGACTCGAACCCAGTACCGTTCTCTTCAAACGCTATCACGTTATCCACTTATCTACTGACTCCTAATAGGCATCTGCTTGTGCAATGGGGTAAGATTTAAATTCACTTTGTATTGTTTAATTGTATCTTCCCATTGTTATTTAGGACTGCAATTGATACAAGTCAACAACACCAAGTAAATTTGAAAATTATTTTAACGATATATTCTTTTTAGAATGATTCAAGAAACTGAATATTTTGGTTATTTACATTTAAATGTCTTTTTAACAGAGAGTAGAACGTATTTCTAAAGTGGTTAGTATCATAGCTCTATGGTGTTTTTAATGATGGATTGACTTCATATTTTAGTTATTTCATGCTTATTTGGAGCTTTTCAACATAAATGAATCATTTATGTCATAAAAACACAAAACCAACAAGGTTGGAATCAGGATATTGAGTTAACAGTTAGGATAACATTACTGATTATCGTTAGTGGTTCATATAATGGTAGGAGAACACTTTGTAGTCATATTGATAAACAATTATGTAGATACTTAGTATTGTTTGTTTGGATCTTCCCATCGATGTGTTTAGGACTTCAACTGGTCAGTCTCTAATTGGCATATGTGCATACTGTGTGGCAAGTGGCTATCAGGACTCAGTGGCCGAGTGGATAACGCGATGGCGTTTGAAACGAGGGTACTGGGTTCGAGTCTCAGAGTGAACATCAACTCTGAGTTGCAGGTACATCCAGCTGACGAGTCCCAAATAGGACGAAACGCGCGTCAAACTGGATTCCACTGCTAGCCACTATCCATCTTTGCTTAATTATGTAGATAATTCTTTATTCCAAATTTTACCAACATGCATAGGTTACCCTAAAATATTTATTTTGAAATATTAGCGTTTAGTGTTTTTTTAGAGAGTTAGTTTCTTACGGGATGGGGTCGCTAACACCATGCCCAACCCTCCTCCTTTATCCGAACTTGGGATCGGCGGTAGCCGCCAGAGGAGCTACAGGCGGAGTTATTTTGAAATATTACATGCATTCTAATACAAGTTGTTTTCTATAACTTTCTAAATAGAAATTTAATCAGTTACTCATTATCATTTTGTTCACCCATGTTCTTTTATTTTCTCCATGTTTATCAATTTAAAGATTTCCTTTCGTTTTTTATTTAGTTCTCAACAAGGTATACAATATTCGCTATGATTTTTTTGAATTTCGCGCTTAACTATTCATAAGCCACCATCATTCAATGTGATTGGCTTGTCTGCAAAATGTACTTTTATGCAAGAAAAAAATCTACTAATACGGTTGATCATTATAGGGTTGTGGAGGTTATTATGTTTTTGATTGAGATCAAGAACCGATTGATGTCTAACCTCAACCAATCTACAAAATTACGCGACCATCTTCCATTGTTCTGAGGTAGATACCTATCGCTACCTGAAAAGAATTAGCTCCACCGGTCACGGCCTCTCACTAGAACTCCCAGAGTTCCCTCACAAAGCTAGTCACTAGTGAGCACATGTTAATTGTCACTACTGGGTTGTGCAAATTATTATGTTTTTGATTGAGATCATGAACCAATTGGTATTAGACTACTATCGAACACCTGGAAGTACTGGACGATCGTGGATTAGTTGAGGTTAGACATTGACACCGTTGAATGCCAGATCAGTAGTTCAGAGGTTAGGCGTTCCCACGCAAGACTGAAGGTCCTGGGTTCGAATCACGCGTGCGAGATCTTGAGTGCGCACTGCTGAGGAGTTCAACAATAGAACGAAACGGCCGGTTAGCGCTTTCAGATGTCGAATGGTGGTATAACAACAATCGGTTCACGATCTCGATTAAAAATCTAGTACCATTGAGTTTAATAAAATAACAACTTACTGTAGTGAATATCAATAAAATAATAGGATAACTATAGTTTATATAATATTTCCAAATTCCTATTAGTTCACTGATCAGTTCATTGCCTGAAATTTTCAAATAACAATTGTAAAAACTGAACAAAAGTACTACATTATAGATCTATATTGTTATGAAAGTATCAATAACAGTCAAATTTAAACCCCAAATGGAGTGATATATAAGATCGTAGATGTTATTCGAAGTATACTATTTCTGATTGAAATCGTGAACAGATCAAAGTTACACCTGGGAGCACTGAACGGCCGTTTCGTCCTAGTATGGGTGTTCCTCAGTAGTGTACATCCACGATTCTAAACGCTAGAATCAATGCACGACCTTCGGTTTCGCACAAATGCCTAACTTCCAGACTTTTGAGTCAGCATTTAATGATGTTTGTATTTAACCTCGAATAATCCACAACACTGTACGATTATCGTCCATTGTATTCGATGGATTATTGTCTCACATCTGACAGACATCAGCTCCACTTTTCACAGCTTCTCATTAGAATTTCGGAAATCTCCTCTCAAAGCTGGTAACTACTGAGCACATGATAATTTTTTGTACGGGTTTGTGGAAATTTTTTTTTGGATTTTATTCAAGTCATTCTACCTTTATTTCTTTAAAAAATCCTATGAGATAGTGCATCGGTAACTAACACCCGACAGACAGAGTAAATATACTTCCTTATATTGTAATCACTTTATTTTACAATTTAAATTGTATAATGAAGTATAAATAATCTTAACTTCTCCAAACTCATGATTGTACCATGTGTTAACTTGATATCTTTTTGATATCTTTTTGCAATTAAGTTAACAGATTTTCATAACTGTTTCAATCAGGACTTTTTCAGTGTAACTAATGATTACTTGACTTACCATTTAACTTTTCCAATGGTCTGCGAAGAGTACGCATAGTGTTACGTAATACCTTTTTCTGGTGAAATTCAAACAATATTGTAAGATGAATTATTTAGTGCAAACATTTAGCATAATAAAAGACTTCCCTAAGTAACTATGAATCTAGTTTAATACAATATCGTCTAATTCAATATATAATCCATTTCTTGTCATCTGGATGCATGATTGATAAGAAGTCTATCTTAGTTAGATATCATCATCTTAGAATGTTGTTCGATGAAGCTAAAATTTCTGAACTCCTAAATTAGTTTCCACTACTACCTAGTTGACGAATGAGGAGAGTGTAGATACATCACCTGTCCATGCTCCTATGTCTACTCAAGATCAAGTGGATCTTAGAACATAACGATAGTTTGAACAGTCTCAGTGGATAATTTGTTTTGTATTCGAACCCTCTCCCACTCGGCATTTCACTTTCGATTAGTGATACATACTACTTGTATCTGTCGAGATCAGTAGCACACACCATAATATCAATAGCTAAAGTAATAATTATTTACAGTAAAATGTATTGGTCGCTAGCAGTGGAATACATAAAGCACGTTTCATTCTAGTTAAAACACATCAAATAAATTCATCTCAGTGTTTATCTTCATACTACGACCTGAACACAATGCTAAGAATTCAGTACTCACTATTTCAGAGAACAGTGCGTTATCGTTTAAAACTAAAATCGCTGAATTAGAGTCTTAGTGTGAAAGTGATGTCCAAACAAATAAGAAGAAATATGATCTCAGAGTTTCCTAGTCAGACACTAAATTTGTGATTAAATGACATTATCACAGCAGTTCTTTCAAGATGCACATATACACACAAAGATTAATCATTTATTTAACCTTTACAATGAAAGAATACAGGACCTTACAGATATTAGTTTGAATACTTGCCATGGCATAAAATGATTATCTGAGTAACTGACAACCGTCAGTTAGCTCATAAGGTAAGTGTAGTCTTTCTCATCATAAGCAAACTTTTACTAAATCTCGCAACTCATAGAGTTTGATAGTATTCCATTAATTTCTTAGTTGAAGAATTCTGAATGGGTACTTATATTTCAGTGCACAAACAGTAACCAAAGTTGAAAATTGTTAATCGTTGGTTCGTATAGTAACGTCCAAGTTACAAATTACATCTTCAAAGAATTAATGATCCCTATTGCTGTATATTGATTGGACAATGAATTCTACTGAGATTTCTGAATAACCTCTCATTTTCTACTTGGTAATATAATGAAAGAACAGTGCTTCTAAAACATTACTAGTTACTAGGGACAAACTAAGTTATACTACAAATTAACTAAGATTTTATAATCTCAGTTATGAAAATCATGGTTGATCAATTTAAGGTATTAAACAGCTTGTGTATTTATGTTTTCATGTCTATTGATGTTTGTGTACATATCTTAGAGGTTTTATTGCAGACATTAATAATTTGTTCAACTTACTTCACAATATTCAATAACAGTAGTCATTTCAATTCCAGAGTTTATCAGTTGTCTATATGAAAATAACAGACAAAATTCATCAGTTCACATAGGATCGTCGATAAAGATTTCATAGTTGAATTCATAAGTCGGTTAAAGCTAGACCATCATGGAAAACCAGAAAGCACTGGACAGCCGTTTCGTCCTAGTAAGGGACTCCTCAGCAGTGCTCATCCACGATCTCGCGCCAGAAGGACTCGAACCTAGAACCTTTATTCTTGCGCAAGAATGCTTAACCTGTAGACCATTGATCTGGTATCTAATGGTGTTAATATCTTACTTCAACCAATCAACGATATTGATCCACCGTCCACCATTGTCTTCAGTGAGTAACTGTCTCAAACAGACACAGTTCAACTCCACTGATCCCATACTAGGAAAAAACGGCCGTCCAGTACTTTCAGGTTTTACATGATGGTCTAGCTTTAATCGATTCATGAATTCAACTATTAACTTACTACAATCTCCATAAACCCCTATTCAGATAAAAATATGTTTAAAACGATTAAGGTTAACAATTGCTAAATTGTAACAAACATTAACGACATAGATTAAATGAAGTTTTCAATGAGCCATAGGATTTGATATGTCAATTTTACTTCAGTAGTTATGTGTGTGTGATATTTTTCATGGATTGATCTCACTTGAGGTATCCTGTGAAAACCAGGAAGTACTAAACAGCTGCTTCGTCCTAATATGATATTCTTCAGCAGTACATACTCACAAACCATCAAAAGACCAAATCCAGGAGATATAAAAAACCTGGTTTAGGGTCTAATAAGACATATTTTTGCTTTATTATTTTCTTGTAATCGACAAGAAATATTTGACAAAGACTGCAAACATTTTTAAGGTATATGTAAGGTTTTCATATAAAATAAGATAAAGTTATGCTTACTTGAACTGTCATGTAAAGAAATTAAAACAGAATTTCGCTGTTACTACTAAATGATAATAGAACTAAACGCAGTGAAATAGTAGTCGTACAACAAGTCTTATAAGCAAAGAGGGGTGGTGACTAGCAGTGGAATCCATAACACGCGTTTCGTCCCATTTCGGGCTCGTCAGTTGGATGTACCTGTATCCTAGAGTTGATGTTCACTCCGGGAATTTAAACTTCACCACACTGCATAAGTAGGTGGCTTTCAGGACTTGGCAGCTGAACGGATAACGTGATAACGTTTGAGGCAAGCGATACTGGGTTGGAGTGATCATGAACTCTGAGATGCCGACACATCCAGCTGACGAGTATCAAAGAGAAAGAAACGGGTGTCCTGCATTTCAGTGCTAGCCACTATCTATCCTAGCTTAGAAAATAGATTTTGAATTAAATATTTGAGTTTCTTTTTTTGAAAAAAGGAATTGAACGTACCTCATATTTCTGACGGCTTCACTGATATCTAGATCTGGTTTACAGAGAATGATATTTATTATAGCATTTTGAACACTACAGAAAATTAAAACAAAAAACGTAGTAATATTCAAATTAGATAGAAATATATAGTGTTGATGTTTACATTTCATGAACATGTTATAAAATGAATTAGAACCATTCAAATTCCATAAAGATCCCACATCTATATAATAAGTTAAATATGTGTCAAAGAGCTATGTTCAGTAAGTAAGTTCGTTTGTTAACAAAGATTACTCTGGATTCTAGTGTCAACATGAAGTACTTTAAATTTTGAGGAAACTGATGTTCTGCGTGATTCACCCTCTTATCCTTTTTCTTAACAAGCTAAGTTGCTTCTACTGAACTATTGTTGATGAATGCCATCTAGCACGACAGCTAAGTTCAAGGTTTTATAATAAAATACGTCTAGCTATCTAACATTTCAAAATAGCATACAAGATGTTAGATAATTTAAACAAGGGCCCATATTTCAACTTTATCGATAAAATTCAAATAGCACTGAAAGGACTAGACAAATCTGAAACTGGATACTACTACTACTCCGTGAAAATATACATATATTCATTTGATATTCAACATGCAGGATTCCATAATGAATTGTCATGTAATGTTTTCATAATGTAATTTACAACAATATATAGGAGTTTTCATTTAGAACTCATTTTATGAGTATGGTCTAATATTATTCTCTTACAATATTGAAATTTACTGGTTGTTGTGAGAACGGCCCACAGGTGAACTTGAGGAAGCTCTAAGAAGCTCAGAAGGAACCGAACATATTCCATCCAATCAGCTTTTGGAAGAATATTCCAGAATCACTACGTGTAGCTTCCCTATATATATATATATATATATATATATATATATATATATATATATATATATACGATCTCATCATTGAGGAAATCACGCAGTTGTGTCACAAGGCAAGCCCTCACATGGAATCCTTGTGGTGTTGTCTACTTATATCCATATAAGTAGTATATGGTGTGGGTCAGACATAGAATGTATTTTGGCAGAAGACCGATAAGTAAAGAACTGAAATGAAGCGCAATCGTTTGGAAAATGCATGAGCAATGGAATAAGAGAAGAAACAGTGAAGATTGAAACAATTGGTTGTTAATTTGCAAATTGACTGTTCATTGTTTGGTTATCAGAATTTACTGAAATAGTCTGTAATGCTTGCCTAAATACGTTCGATTGTCCCCAGTCGTGTTCTGTTAACTACATCCTGAAGGCCAAAGAAGTAGAGGAAAACCAAAGAACACATTACACTGAATAATGGAGACAGACATGAAAAGAATGAACAAAAGTTGGATAGAACTAGAAAAGAATGCCCAGGACAGAGTGGGTTGAAGAATACTGATCGGCGGGTGATGCTCCATTGGGGATAACAGACGTAAGTAAGTAAGTATGTAAGTTAGTAAGTAACTAAATAAGTGATATACGATCTCATCCTGTGATATGATACCTTAACATAAAATCCAACCAAGTCAATGTATCAAACCATTTACAAATTTTACTACAAAAAATATTAATCACTTAACAATAGATGAAATCAATTTTTGACAGTTTGAAAATGAACTATAGATACTTAACTTTGAATAAACAGAATGTTATGTTCTTAGCTTATACGATAATCAAAGAACATGATTGTCTATTTTAAATACTATGACTTGTACAACCAAACTAATAATGTATACACTAGTACAAGTAGTATAGAGTTCTGATTGGTCCTTCTTTCGCTTAACCCTAACTGTTAAGTTCAAAACATCAATCTCAGCCTCTCCCATACAAATCATATATTTAAAATATACTTGAATTATATACAAGCAAAATCAGACCATATCATACCATAAAATAGAAAATATTATTTGTACAAGATCAAGACGAAAATTGGCTGTGATTGTGAAAGACTGTTATCAAGAAATTGGGAATATTTCATGAATAGTAAATCAGATGATAATAATTCATAGGTCAAATAAAAGCTTATAATGGAAAGAATATGAATATTCATATAATATAGTTACTTAATGGTCATGATTCTGAGGTGTTCATTGTATTCCGTGCTTCTCCTTAGATGTTGAGGTCTTCATAATCCAGTCAATCACCTGAAGAAAGAGGAAGGGGGAGAGTGCACATACTTGTCTGGCTACGGTTCTTACTGGAAATGCATCTGTAAGCTGTCCTCCATTCACGACTCTACACTGTAGTCCGTCGCATGAGTTCCGGATAATGTTGACAATCTTCTGAGGAACTCCATGGTGTCGAAGAAGTTTCCATAATGTTTTCCTGTCCACACTGTCAAACGCCTTCTCATAGTCAATGATGTTGATGTATAGTGACGGATTCTACTCAATTGATTATTTTACGATTATTCGTAGTGTCGCGATCTGGTCTGTACACGATTGATCCTTGCAGAATCTAGCCTGTCGATCTCAAAGTCTGGCTTCTACTGCGTCTTTCATCCGTGTATAATATTAGTCCATAAGTAATTCCTAACGGTTACCATTCATTTATTCTCATTCGAATATAACATTTGTCTGTTCTTAAATTTTCATTTCTAAACGTACAGTATTATTAGAATTGAACAAAGCTGAAAACCACTTTGAAACTCTATAGTCAATGTTTAGACACAAGCAGTTAAAACAAATAGTCTACCGATAAACAGACAATTAAATCAAATGAACATGTTGAATTCTTATAGTTCGTGGGTTTCAAAGAACAATAATTGATCAATTTTCATCTTCTCAAATGCTAAAAGACTTTACAGACATTTCGATTTGAAAAACAATCGTCATCATTGTAACTTCGGTTGACTTGACAGTATAACTTTGTTTACTTCCTTCATGAAAGCTGATTCACCTATATAATATTTTTTATGTCAACTATTACAATCATATTAGAACTCTAAAACAAATGAATTCATTATTATAGTTGTATTTTAGTTAATAGAAAACTTCAGGAGCCGTATTTCATTCTATTTGAGACTTTTCAAACTGACTATACTTTTGTCTTATTGTTAATGTACACAATAACGTTAAAGCCCAGTATTTATCTGTTCCATAATTTTAAACCTGTTATATCTAGGTAACGACTAAATTGTACTAAGTGGAATTGTTATTATGTATCTTAAACAAGTACCTCGATATATTCCTAAATATCAATGACAAGATGACTCAGGCATTTCAGAATAAGTAAATACGAATAACTGTAATTAAAGTTTTGTTAACTACTTATAAGTAATTTTTCATAGTTGAAATCATGAGTCAATTGTAGCTAGACCATCATGGAAAGCGTAGAAGCACTGGACGGCCGTTTCGTCCCACTATGACACTCCTCAACAATGCGCATCCACGATCCCGCCTCGCAAGATTCGAACCCATGACCTACCAGTCTTGCGCCAGAGCACTTAACCGATAGAACGAAACGACCGTCCAGTGATTCCAGGTTTTTCAAGGTGGTCTAGCTTCAATTGACACATAATTTCAATTATGAAAAATACTGAAATCTCCAAAATATGAAAGAAAACAACTGAAATTACTAATTGTCACAGCTTACATTAGCCAAGATTCACTTTGAGACCAATCAAATATTCCAGAATTAAAATTAACACCTAATCTATCATCAAGGTTAGCTCTACGATATTCAGTTTCATTTGAATGGAGCCATCTTTCATTCTCATTATTACTGTCACATTCACAAGACAATAAATCATTTGTTGACCAGTATTGATTATTTACCGTCGATTCTTTTGATTTCACCTCTATAGGACTTTTATTCAATGTAGATTGATTCCCCAATCGAGAATTAAACCATACAAGTTTATGATTGTAAGCATGAGATTTATTCTATTGATGGAAGGTTAGAAAAAATTGAATGAATACATAATTGTACATATACATGAAATACTAACAGTTTTTGGAGTAGAAAAATGTTTGAGAAGAACAGTTTTCAATGTTAGACTTCTTTTCATTATCTGTTTTCTCATTTGATTGTTGTTAACTAGAACCTCTGAGGAGGAGTTCAGTTGTTTGAGTGTTTTAATCTTGTTAGTAAATGATAGTTCTAACAAATGAAAATGACTTCGGAAACTTGTTCCAAATTCATACTACCCCACTATCCTTCATTGTAATCTAATAGATTACTTTCTCTTCTATTTGATTGTTTTTGTTATATACTCTCGAGATTATAGTAATGATAGTGTAAACAGATATTATCTTATTAAGATTTTAAACGTTTCCTGAATAGTTGCAAGCGTGAGTCAATTGAAGCTAGACCACCAAAGAAAACTTGGAAGCATTGGACGGCCGTATTGTCCTATTGCGGGACTCCTCAGCAGTGCACATCCACGACCTCGCCTCGCGAGATTCGAACCCAGGACCTACCAGTCTCATGAATACTTATGGTTTTTCTCTCTCTTTATTTCAACTAGATGAGGGAATCATTATTGAAAAAGTGTTTTTGGAATGAATTCTTGAGCTCTTCACTAGTTTCAGGAGATATCGTCCAGTTGTTCGAAACTTAAAATAATCTTTAGTGATCTCCAAATGAAGCAGAATCTACTTGTGTTAATTTTCTTGTTTTATAATAAATGTCAAGGAAGAAACCTTAATATAGGGTTCCATGCTAACTACCTCCAGACCCCTAAAATCTCAGCACAATGAGCATGATTCTGAACCATTCACATTAATGAACATCTTTTAAAGCGATCAATTTAACATGAATAATACAAAAACATAAGACTAACACAAATTCAGCTTTTGATTGAGATCATGAATCGATGGATGATAGACCACCATTGAAATCCCGTATGCGGGATCATGGGTGCTCACTGCTGAGGAGTCCCATACTAGGACGAAACGACCGTCCTGTGCTTCTAGGTTTTCAATGGTGGTCTAACATTCATCAATTCATGATCTCAATTAAAAGTGAATAATTTCCACAACCACACAATGATAAAAATCAGTTATTGATCAGTGATCAGTCAATTATCAATTTACACACCAATTTTTATGATAAAAGGAGTTAACTGATAAACCTGTTGAAGATATTTATTCTCCAGGTTTAACTAAAAAGTGAAATTACTAAATTACCGTTCGTTTACAAACACCATCACATTATCCACTTATAGCTACTGAGTCCTGATAGACAATATCAAAGTAATACGCATAATATACACATATAACAATAAATGACTGAGCAATTACAGTCCTAAACATCATTATGAACATTCCAGTAAATAATATCAAGTAAAATTAACTGTTGTATCCCGTGAAGAATTATGAATGGTAACTTTCAGTACTGTTCATTGACAGATGTGATATGTATATTTCCTACTGTATCATTGATAAGTAACTTAACTATTCATATTCATGTTCCTTTTATTATGAGCTTTATTTCGACCCATAGATTATTACTGTACGATTTACCGTTCCTGAGTTATCCCTAGTCGATTAATTACTGTTCCCCATATTCACAGCCACATTTGGCTAAATGTTATTTTCCATTTTATGTTACGATGTGATTAGTTTGTTTGGTATATAAACCCAGTATATTTGAGAATAATTATTCAAATTACAGAGGCTGTTATTGGTGTTCTGGATTTAACTGACTGGGCTTAGGAAGAAAGCAGAACCGACAAGTACTCAATACTGCTCATACGGCTTTTGTGTATCATTATTCTGATTGATAAATTCACTCCTCTCTCATTGGCAGGAATCAGCAAGTTCATATATATTAACTGGGCAAGAATGCACACACTCACACAACTTAATCAATATAACATTAACAACACATTTTTTAAACACTTACTTCTTGAACACGTTTTCTATGATCAATTATAATTTCCAACATGACAATTAAAACAATTATCCTTAAAATAAAAACAATAAATTGAGATTATGGTTGTTTTAATTTGTTCTCCACTCATTAGAAACATTTTAAATAGTTAAAATTGAAAAAAAAAATTTTCCACAATGTTTTTGAAATGGCTCAAAGGTTCAATGTTAATATTTAAACAAATTTCTGAATTCGTTTAATACTGTAAATGATCAAAGTACATTAGATATCACATTCTGAATATATTGGTTAATGTGATAAAATTCGTATTTGTGGAGATTTGGTATTTTTTTCATAGTTGAAATCGTGAGTCAATTGAAGCTAGACCACCAGGAAAAACCTGGAAGCATTGGACGGCTGTTTCATCCTATTGTAGGACTCCTCAGCAGAGAACGGTTGATTAACTTCGTGGATTAGTTGAAGTTAGATATTAGCACCATGGATAGCGGCTCAGTGGTCTATCGGATAAGTGCTCTGGCGCGAGACTGGTAGGTCCTGAGTTCGAATCTCGCAAGGCGAGGTCGTGGAAGCGCACTGATGAGGAATCCCACAATAGGACGAAACGGCCGTCCAGTGCTTCCGGGTTTTCCCTGGTGGTCTAGCATCAATTGACTCACGCTTTCAATTATATATTTCTTTTTTGTTTTGTTATCACATAGAGATTAATCAAATATTTATCATGTGTATGATGAAATTGGTTAGCGTTTTTTTAGCGAGTCAGTTTTTCTACGGGATGGGGTCGCTAATCCCATGCCCAACCCTCCTCCTTTACCTAGGATTGGGATCGGCAGTAATTCTAAAAGAGCTACAGGAGCCAGCCAGAACATAATGAAATTCATAAAATATTATTGAATAAGTCATCATTCTTCTTTTTTTGGTTCTTTTCTAGTATAAATAATTTGAAGAGAGAATATTTACCATGTAGATAAATAGTTTCAAGTATAAGTTTTTTATTGTTTGAACCTAATTGCCTTTACAAATTATTATTATTGACTCAAAGATAGTATAATGATTATAAGTATACTTAAGTACTATTATTATTTATTTAAACACATAAATATTGGTACAAGGAAGCATCAGGTACATATGCGCCGCACAAATCTCATTTGATTCGCGTGAGGGCTGTGGTGCTGCCCAGGTGCCCAAACTGAAGCAGGTGGTTTCCTTAGGAGACCACACCCGAAGCCTTTGACCTACAGATCTGATCCACTATTCAGTGGAGCATCGTGAGGAGATGCAGTCCCATGGTAGTCGGTGACCAACGATTGATTCATACGCCATTTGTTCCCCCAGGATACTGGAGCCCATGTGCACCATTGGTTTGGAATCAGGGGTTTTCAACTCCTCTAGATGGACTCGCAGTGTGTCCACCGACCCGGTTAAAGTACCGGACATTCGCTTTTCGTCCTCTCAATTTCGTAAACAACAGTGATGTCACGAGAAGGCAGTGAATAGGACTTCCTTGGTAGAGGCTATATACTCGTGGCCATGTGAGAGCATCTCGAGAGAGAGGGTGGCCCCTCCCCACTCTCGACCGTACCAGGGCATGCGGAGGCACTTCAGAATTATGTATCCTTTGATCTCATATATGGATGATTTACAATAAAATTAAAACAAAATGGGGTTCTATAGATATTGTAATAACTTTTTTTAATAGTTGAATTCATGAATCGAATAAAGCTAAATCACCATGGAAAACCTGAAAGCACTATGAGTCGGATGATGTTACATCTTTGTACTGGAATCTACACTAGTACATATCCATGACCTTACTAGGGACCAAACCTAGGACTATCGGTCTCGAACACCAACACTTAACTTCTAAACCACTGAGTTGGAACATCTTCTTTTATCTGAGGTGAATAACTATCTCACATTTTACATGGTCTAACTCCTCTAATCGTGGCTTTTTTTTCTATCTAGTGATACAGACAAATCTTCATGTTATTCATTAACTTACTTAAATCAACAGATAGCTTATTAAATAGACTCGACGTTGTTTCCTAGTGTCGTTCCATTGTTATTTAGGACTGAAATCGATCAATCTCTTAATGACATATATGCATCTTAAGCGGACTATCTCAATATTGCTTTAATTCCCAGGGTGAAAATCAATTATGAGATGCAGATACATTCAGCTGACGAGTCCCGAATAGGACGAAACACGCGTCCAGGATTCCACTTCTAGCCACTATCCATATATGCTTATAGACAGATTTTTACTTTGAACACCTATATAAATCAGTTTATCGGTCATTCAGTGATTCATGAGGAAAGAACTGTTGTTAAACCTAAAAAGAATTCTATTATTCTCAAGATAAAATTCAGTCGAATGACTACGTTTCGTCTAGTGGTACAGAATTTTATTTAGGTAATCACGCTACTGAATAATAATAAGTAGAAAAAGTGAATAACTAAAAATAATTGGCATCATAAAAGAAATCCATATAAAGTTGTATTATATGTAAAATGATTTAAATCGTGACATGATTCAATTGAATGACATTAAAACTATTAACTTATACTAAGATTTGTTCATCATACTATTGTACTCTTGACAAAAAACAACAAGCCAAAGTGATATATGAATGAGTGAAATCCTTTTAAGTAAATTCACAATTAGAAGTTCAAATCACTAGTCAAAAGGAATACCTACATTTGAGAGGACTACGACTTTTAAAATCCTAAACATGAATTAAGAATTAGAGGCGATATACTTCTTTTCTCGGTTTAAGACGATTAAATGAATAGTATGCAGTGAATACTTAAAATGAGTTGCTTGATAAAACAAGACGACCAGACTACTAAATTATAAAAAAAATACATCTATTATATAATAGTTGAATTCATGAGTTGATTAAAGCTAGACCACCATGGAAAACCTGGAATCGCTGGAAGGCCGTTTCGTTCAAGTATAGGGCTCGTGGAGTGGTTGAAGTTAGACATTAACGCCGACGGATGCACGCTCTGTAGCCTAGAGGTAATGTGTTCGTGTGCGAGACTGATAGGTCCTGTGTTCGAATCTTGCAAGTGGGGTCTTGGGTTCAAACTATTGAGGAGTTCTATACTAGAACGAAACGGCCATCCAGTACTTTCAGGTTTCCCATGGTGGTTCAGCTCCAAACTCATTAATCACTAAAATCTCCACAAAAACCGTTTCTGATAACATGTATTATATTATTAATATATCCGTTTTAATGTTAGTCATATGAGATTGGTTTAATCAGAGATTAATAAATGGTATGAAGTCGTATGAATTGAGTGACAACAAAACGGAAATGAGTATTTAGTGGATTTCATGTTAAAACATATTGGAGATATAAGTATATTGAATTATTTCATAATAAATATTCTGGCTAAACTGTTCAATACCTATGGCCTTCAATGGTATTTCAGGCAATCAAAAGCAGTATTTGATCATAAAATAGGTTATTGTAAGATAAAGTAAAATTGCAATGAATAAATAGTTTTGACATTACATAATGCTGAGTTATTCATTTATAAGGTGTAGGGCAAGGAATTAGGATTTACTTACACCTGTTACCCCTCGTCGAGGAGCATAGGCCGCTCACTAGCAATCATATCTGCTTCGGATTCCTGACGCAGTGTGTTCTTCGGCATTCCTCTTTTCCATTTCCCTTAAGGATTTCAAGTTAGCTCTTGCCTCGTGATGCAGTTTGATGATTCCCGTAATATATGTCCTATCCACTTTCAACGTTTTTTCTTAATTTCCTCTTCAGCTGGGAGCTGGTATATAATTATGGTCAAGAGTTAGAGCTAAGAATTGGAGTTTGAGTGAGAGAGTATTTTTCACCCGTAATGATAAATGATTATGCCGACAGATATTAAAACCTAAATGTCTAAAAGTATAAAGTTACCATGAATAATCCTCAAAACATGTGGAAATATTATGTACCGGAGCACTTTAGAGAGCACCCAAACATAACTGACTAGGTACTAATTTTCACCCAGTACATCAAACTGAAAATTAACTTTCCAGATACAACCTGCGTCAAGAACAGTTGTTTATTGCAATTTATTTTCAACACACTATGTTACGTTCACCGTTTGGTTGCACAACAGAAATATACATCAGAGCTAGATATATGCTATTCTAACATAGGTTATTATAAGTTATAGGTTATCTGTCATTGTGTTATGAATTTTAAGCAAAACTTCAAGAGCTAATATCTTAACTCTGATTGACATACCTGTTACTATACTGTTTATGAAACCAGATCAGATAGCAGAATAAGAAATCGAAACTGATACCTCTGAATTCTGAGACTGTCGATCTATGGCGATTGATAGTGTTTTTAACAATTGAATTCACTAGTCTATTTAAGCTAGACAGCCGTTTCCTCTAGGCACAGGACACCTCACCAGCACAGCCACAACCCGCACGCACGAACCCGGGACCTTCAGTCTCGCGCACGAACGCTTAACCCTTGGACCACCGCCTGTTTCCGCTACTTCAGAATTATCATTGTTATACCTTGTTCTAAAATAAGTGATTTATCTCTGCCCTATAGCTTAAAACAAAATTTCAAAGGAACGCAAAATCAATACAATCCAAACTACTCTGTAGTGAACAACAAGACAAGTGAGGACAATTGAATGTATTTCATCTCAAAACTACAGAATATCTCACTGAAATCTGACAACCATACAGTAAACAGTAAATTTAAAAACTATCAATCAATTATCTCAATCATTTCTGTTCTTTCTGCAAATATCAGTCCATCGTCTCCGATTCTTATCGTTCATACATTTTAAAACCAATTGCGTTCCGTTTCAGTTCTTTCCTTATCAATCTTCTACTGAAATTCATTCTATGCTTAATCATCGTCATATACTACTTATATGGATATAAGTAATTTAAAAAGTTATATGATATAATAATAAAAGGAAAAATTTTAATTTCTATGGAAAAAATACCACCATTTTATGTATCCTAATATTTAATGATTTGTATTTGACCTGATAATATCTCATATGAACATTGTATACATATATAAGAACTCTCGTCTAAATTAGAACGAATAGTTTCACAGTATTTGAGCGCCGAGTTGAAGTAAGACATTAAATAGGAATAATATATTTGTAAAATCTCAGCGAATGAATT